TTAAAAACTATTATGTCAATTAACACACTCTCCACTAATTCATTTATTTTTCAAAGGTGTCCAGCTATTCTATAGGTTGATGCGCGGTGGTTTATTTTACCATTTTTCTATTGTTGAGCCTTTGTGTGATTTGCCATGTTTTAGGCTGTCATTTGTAATATTGGTCAGCCCTAAGCCTAGATTACTTTTTCAGATCCCCTAATATTTAACTTTCATATGCTTGAAAACTTCACAGTTAAGTAGAAACATCATGATTGTTTTTCACACTATAAAGACAAGAAACTGAGGTGTAAGGGATAGATGTTTTGCCCAGAAATATGCTGTTAAAAGCAGAGAATCCTGCCTCCTGCCCCCGCTGCTGAGCACTTGTCCCCTGAGCTGTGCTCTGCAAAAGGCACCACTGGCTCCTCTGTATCTCAGCTGGTGGAAGAGCACAGTTACACCTCTCAGCTTCCTCCCATAAACGGCTGCCATTCTTGACACAGGGTGACCCCACCAACTTGTCCTGGCAGGGCTGGGCACTGAGGTGTCAGTCCTGTGGGCTGACCACCCTTCCAGCCTCTTCCTGCATCTCTTGGTTCTCTGCGCTGTTTTGTAGGCCTTTGGCTGGAGTCTAGAAGGTTTGTGGCCGGGGAACAGACCAACCCTCAATTGCCTCCTTCGCCAGGGGTTTGAATTGGGTCTCTTGGCTCAGGATCACTCTCAAACCACTAGAATTTATCAGCCACAAGTTTCTAGGAAATGCAAATTGAGGGCTGCAAAAGAACTTCAGGAGGGTTTAGAAGAGGAATGGTGTTAGGATGAACCCTTCCACTGAATCTGAAGAACATACCTGGGATTAGAAATTGAGCAGCTGGCCAGAGGCCAGCTCTCCTCCCCCATAGGCACTGCAAGGTGACACGCCTGCACACAGGCATTCTAAAGGAGGGGATGGGTTGGGCAACTGTCTATGGGGTAGATGGGGTTCCCCATTCTCCTTCCCAGCCTTCTTACCCTTAGAACTCATGACTTGGCTCTCAGCACCCCACCCACCCACCCACTAGGAGCCAAATGCACCCACTTAGGGGTCTAGGAGACAAAGAAACTTCCTGGTCCTTAGAGTGACCTATCTTATCTAGTCATCTCTCTAATAAATTCATACAAGTAATTCAGATTAGCATGAGAATGATAGGAAATATTTTAAATGTAAATGTAAATGAAATGGTAGGAAACCTAGAGACGACAGGTCCTGGCGGAACATGAGGAAGATCTTTGAGGTATGAGTGTCTTCGACTTCCGACTTCCGATTGTCATTCCCAAAGCTGTCCTTCCTGTCCTGCCCTTCCCCTCGTCCCCTACCACCCCAGGCTAATAAACTAGCAGTCAGCAGTTTGCAGTTTCTTGTGTGGAAACCTCTTGGCTCTCTATGATGGATCTTAACCAACTTAAAGTGCTGAGTGCTTTTACTGGAACCTAAGCAGAGGAAAGCATCTTGGGGGTATTGTTTTTCTCTGGAAGTCACACATGAAGTCACACAAAGTCTTTATTCTCCTCCTGCAGGTTCTGATGAGGAGTACATTTACATGAACAAAGTGACAGTCAACAGGCAGAATGCTGAGTCTCAGGACAAAGGTACAGGGCTGGGACGGCTGGCTCACAGGAGATGGAGGGAAGTACAAGGCTCAGCTCCCTCGCTCCCCCTTTCTTCCAGCCAGCGTGCAGACAGGCCTGGAGGAGTTATTTTTGGAAGACGCATTTTGGTTGGTGGTATTTTGGGTTGATGTATTTTCGGTGTTTCAGCGGGCCGCCACCTTCTTGCCCATTGAGGAAGGAATCTGTCCCTGCAATCTCTTTTTCCTAGCATCATCCCAAGAACAGGAAGTCATAATTCAGATGTGCCGGGAGCACAGCTGTGTGTGGTGCTGATCCCACGATTCCAGCTTTGTGTCTTTTGATAAGGGAGAAGGGAGGAGAAATGCTGTGAGCAACTATTTTAATATTCAAAGAAGATGCACCAAGGGGTCTCGTGAGCAGAACATTTTCTCTTTTACTGGAAGGATATGTGGCATCTGGTCCTTGTCCTCTAGATCTTCTGCTCACTGCTATTTCCCTTTCAATCTCCGGTCTGATGGGACCCCAGAGGGCCCAGAGGTTTGCCCAGCTTCCCAGTGGCAAAAGAGGAGGCATAAGAAGCTCTGCCTCCCAACTCCCAAGCCTGCCACTCAGATGGCAAGGTTTAGAGAGCGATAGGAACATGGCTTCAGAGCACTGAGCCCTAGAAGGCTTGGAGAAGGCAGCCCCTTGAGCTCCAAGGGTCAGAGCTGCGCAAGCTGTCTGGCTGGAGCTGGCTGGATTGGCCAGAACGACGGGGCCCAGAAGGGCCTTCGAACTCCCTTGCAAGGGCCCAGAGGGGTAATGGCCTAACTTCCTTGTGTAGCAGCCCCTCCTTCTTCCCCTACCTCCAAGCTGGGGACTGCAGACCTATCTGATGACACTCCTACTCTGCCCAGGGTCATTCACCTTTGGGGTCAACCGTGGGAGGAGACGGCCATAATCACAGGGTCGGTGCTAAGAGCAGCTCAATATAGTGCCTGCCGGCAGCGCTCTGGTTGCTGCAGCTCTGTGGCTGGGCCATTTTTGACATGGGGTAGGTGGGTGGGGGCTGCGGAGCCTGCCAGAAACCCCAAGCCGGTTCCTTCTGGGGACTCTGCCCATGACCGGGCATGGTGCACCCTATTCTTGGAGGTGAAACAACTTTGGCTTCAGGGACAGCCTGCCTGGGTAATTATCACCTGCTCAAATAGAAGGCATGTGACGGGTCGGATGAGCGACCAGACATTCCTGGGTAATGAGACCCAGCCATGAGGCCAGGCACACCTCACCAACGCCTCTCTTGCTCCCTACAGTGCCTGAGGAGCAGGGCCCACTGAGCAATGGGGGACCTGGCCAGCACACCTTGGCCCCTCAGAAGAGCCTTCCAGACCTCCCTCCACCCAAGACAGTAAGTGTTCATCCAGGGCCCCCAGTTTTCCTGACTTAGGCCCTGGGAATTTCTACTTGTCCTCAGAAGTATTGTACCAAGTTTCTGGCATTTTCTGAGCATTCTCTATGAGCACGAGGCAAAGGAGACTGAGCCAAGGAAGCTCCACAGGTGACTTGTCATTGGCCCAGGCCACCGTATTCCCCATGCTAAAGGTGATGGGAATGGGGAGATTCTATCAAGTGTCCCCGTGTGTCTAACACCATGCTGGTCCCTTTCCCCAGAGTCACATGAGAGGGTCCACGTACAGCTGTGGTGTCCAGCTCAGGCCACTGTGACCTTTTGAAACTGTAAATCTTACCACTGTTCATTTCCTGCTTGAGACCTCCCCATGGTTCTCGTTAACTTAGAAAAAGACATTCCTTGACGTTGCTCCGGGCCTGCACGTCCAGCCAGTTCCCTCTCCACTGGCCTCACTCCTGCTCCTGGGTTCTACCACTGCTGTGGGACCTGCTGTAGGGACTCTACTTCCTCTGCCACTGGGTCTTCTGTGACTGTCACTGCCTTATCTCCCATCTGGGCTTCCCCTAGCCGAGCTGCATGGGGCATCCCACTCTTGCTCTGCCTGTTAGTACCACCCCTTCGCCCCTCCATGGTACCTGCCACTCTTGACAAGATCTTCTTATTATTTGTCTCCTCCCCAGGACAGGAACTGTGTCTTCCACTTACTACTTCATGTCCAGTGGGGCACACAGTAGGCCACACACACATAGTCGTTTATTGGGTGAGTGGATAGGTGGATGGATGGGTGGGTTGGATTATAGAACTCTGAAGACATGGGTTCAGGTGCCAGGGCTGCCAGGCACTAGCTCTTGCACCCGGAGAAGGTTATTTAAGGTCTGTAGCTCTGTGTCTCCTGATGTTAAGTGACGTTGGCGTGTGTCTCACTCTTGGTGGTGGTCACTGGGCTGAGGGTGTAGGCCACACAGCACTGTGTGGCATTCTTCTGGCGTTCAGTGAGGTGGGTGGCAGCGTCCTTGCTTTATGGGTGAGGAGCCTAACATCTCACAGTAGCAGCATCAGGATTCAAACCCGGGCATTTGCCCCATGGAGCATGGTTGGGGCTGGTTTCTTAGAGAAAGTAGAGGGCCACAGCTGGGGGGATTTATGCAGGAGGCAGGGGGTCTTGGGGTCCACCTCAGCAGGAAACTGAATCCATGGTCCCTCTGAGCTCCAGCCACATGACCCATTGCTGATCTTTAAGCTCATGTCACCATTGAAGGGGTCCCAACCCCAGAATGGCTCTGGACGCCCCCTGCCCTCACGCTTTGCTGAGGCAGCAGTCTCCTCCAGCTGGAGAGTGACTCTGCCACACAGGCCAAGGGCCCTTCCGCAGTGCCTGGGACCCTTCCCCATTGCATGGGGGCCCTCAGGCTGGTGACGGCTGGTGGGACTCTCTGTCTTGGGCTAGGTGATCCTTGATGGACTGATCTTAGTCTTTGGGTATCCCCATGGTGCTGACGTCACCAGGGACTGCCCCACCCTGAGCTCTACCCACTTCCTGAGCACAGGCACCATCCCCCCCACCCATCAAGGGGTGGCTGTTCTCATCGTGGTTTTCCATGTGAAGGAAGAAGCTTAGAGGGCCCCACGGTGGGGGGATTTGCATCTGGTTTGTGCCACTTCTGTGTGGCAGAGTTAGCATGGCTTCCCTCATCTTGCCCCCCCACCCTGTGCTCTGGGGCGCTGGGGAGAAGCACCTCCCTTCTGCTTTTTCACCCACTTGCCAAGGGCTTTGACCAGTGAGAGAAGCTGTGGTTCTCTGATGGAAGGCTTTCTGGTGTGTCCCAGGCTCACTCTCCGTTGGGTGGTAGCTGGACAGGGAGTGGCTCAGGGCCAGGGCCACACTTTCCTTCCTGAGTCCAGCATCTGATTGGGACCCGGGCACCTTGGACGTCTGCCAAGTGGAAGTGCCCCATCCATATGCCATGGGCCACAGGGTCCGCACCTGGTGGGTGGGGGTGTTCACCAGGCAGGCTCCCTGGCGCTGAGGGCCAGGCCTTCTAGAAATCTGTGATTTGAAATCCCCAGCACCACCCCTGAGCTACATCCCCAGCCCTTTTTATTATTTGAGATAGGCTCTCACTCAATTGCCCAGGCTGGCTTCAAACTTGTGACCCTCCTACCTCAGCTTCCTGAGTCACTGTGACGATAGGCCTGTGTCTCTGGGCCCAGTTGACATATGTGTTTTACAAATGGGACCGGCATACAGGTTTGAACCAATTGGTCCTGGTGAGGGTGGCAGCCCCGGGCGCTGGCACGGTTTTTACTACTCTGTTGGAGTCTCATGTACCAACTGTGTGGCATGAAGGGCTGTGAATGAGGTAAGGGGCAGGGAGGCCAGTGGCCCCCTCCAGGAGACTTCCTGTGGCATCTTTGTCTGGGGACTGCTTGACCAGAGAGGCTTACGGCCATCTGGGAGCAACCTGGTGCCAGAGGTGGTCTCCCAGCCTCCCATGAGGACTTCCTGTGCTAGATGGGCCAGGCGTGTGGACAGCAGCCCTTATCCAGATCCCTCCTCATTCTGTCCTAGGCACCCACCGCCACCCTCAGGGGTTCCAGGCGTGGTAGGTGGAAGGGTAGCATGGAGCTGGGATTCCCCCCTCCTGGCCCACACGAGTATGCAAGTGTGCACGCGTCTGAGCTCCCTTGGGCCTCTTCCGTCAAGCCTGGCCAAAGCAGCTGTAGGTCGTAGTCCAAGGGCTGCCGAGGAGTGGGGTGAGGAGCAGCCAGAGAGAGGATGAGAACCAGAGCCGTAGCTGCCTCATCAGAGGGACGTGGCAGCTCCACCCCAGGGCCTGGGCCTGGAGTGACCCTGTGACCTGCCCTCTTCAGGAGCCCCTTCCTTCCTAACCTGACCCTGTAGCATCTGGGTGCCCCGGGACTCATCCACCTGAGTGCTGGGCTCCTCACCACTGCCACCCATGGGTGCTACAGAAGAGATCAGATGTCTGCCTGGAGTCCTCAGTGCCACTGGCCAGGCCAGGATTGTGGCCTGTCCCAGGCTCAGGATGCTTGTTACCCATAAGCTGGGACTTTCTCCACAATGATGTGGACCCTCACTCCAACCCCCCTCTGTGGAGAGCGGGCCTTCCCAACAACAGAAGGGCAGCCAGAGGTCTGGAGCAACCTCGTGGGTGTGGACAGTGACTCAGGCAGCTGTGGCCTTCCCAGGCTGCTGGCTGTGCAGCCAGGTGCTGTGGTCACGGCAGGAGAAGCAGATGTTGCTGGCCACTGTTTACCTCTGGCCAGCACAGTCATCTCCACCCACCTCCTCTGGAGGCCTGAACATGCACCCGTGTTTGTGAGCTGCCCTGTGGGAGAAGCAGCTGACCCCATAGAGGGGCATTGCCACAGTCAGTGTGGGCACCCGGGGGGACCCCCCACCAAGAGCTTTTCACAGGGCATGCACTGGGAGCAGGCCGTGTGGAGCTGCAAGGGTGCCTCATGTCATCTGGGCCACCCCTCTTCTTTAACTCTCTGTCTCATTGTAGTCGGGGTTGGCACTGTCCCTCTGGCCAGGTCACCCTGCCTCTGCTTTAGTGAAGTGAAGATTTTTGCAACACAGCCATGCTGCTTTAGCAGGCATTGTCCGTGGGTTCCTGTTCTGTGCTGCAACTGGAGAGTTGGACATCTGAGATAAGAGACTCCAAGGGGCCCACAAATCCCCCAGATATTTGCTACTTGGCCCTTTATGAAAAAAATCTGTGAACCTCTGGTAAATCTCGAGCAGGGTGACTTTCTTCCCGTCTCTTCCTCTGAACAGTCAGAAAGTTATTTCTGGGATTGAAGTCAAATCTCTTCTGCATCTTCATTCAACATTCACTGTCTTCCCCAGCATAAAGATGTCGATGATTCAAATATCAGCCCTTTCTCGGATCCCTGGGGAGATTAGGACCCTCTCCTTTGATATCCAGTAACAGGTCTTTCATGTGTCTGTGTTTAGAGGACTCTCTCCTGAGTTCTTAGGAAAATCATTTTCTCTTTTAACTTGACCTTAGTGTTTTTTGCCTCAGGAGCCTGGGGACCTGGGGCTCTGACTTGTTCCTCTGTAGCAAAGTGAGGTAGAGATTGGCATACACTGGGTCAGGCCCAAACAGTCCCCTTTGTATCCTTCCAGAATACATTGATTTGTCCTCTGCCAAATACATATACATGAAACTTCTCCATTTGCTATTTTTACATTTTATTTTCTTAGGTTAATAAAAATTAATATTTATTGAGTGCTTAATATTGCTGAGCCCAGTTTTATCTTTACAACAACCCCATGTGACACAGGTATTTCTACTCCATTTTGCACTAAAGCCCAGGTTGTTGAGAGTCACACAGCCGGAATATCAGGATTTGAGCCTGACACAGGAAGTTGGATTCCTCACCACTGTCCTACACTTCCCCTCTGGACTGATCCATTTAGATATTTCAGAGAGGGTTTTGGGAGACTCCTGAAACGTTGCTTGGTGCAGAAGGATCATTCTCTGCTCTGTCCTCTTCTAGCTGTGGGGTCCTGATCCAGAGTCAGATCTTGGGTTCCTTGAGCTTCTCTCCATAGAGGCCACCTCCTCACACCCCCTTAGGGGTGCTCGCACCACCTGCTGAAAGGGGGCTTCCCAGAGGCTGCAACGGGAGCTCTGGCCAGCCTGATGCAGAGCCCAGGGCTGTCTGAGAAGACCCTCTGGCTGCTGAGGGCAGGGGAAGCTTCCCCCCTTGGACTCTGGGAAGCTGCCTGGGCCTCCCAGGGCTGCCCTTTCTCAGGCTGGTGGCTGGGGACAGCTGAGGAGCAGACACTTCTCCTGAGACTAACACAGGAAGCTGAAGGTCCTCTGCTCGCAGCTCTCAGTGTGGCCTGCTGCACGTTCGCGGCCCGGCAGCCACGTCCTCGGCCCCACTTAGTACCCGGTGGATTAGGAGATGCCCAGGTGATCCTGTAGCTGCACCCTCAGGGAGGGAGTTACTCCTGCTGGGGCTGGAGACCTTGGAGCCACCTCTGGGCTTGCCCAGCTCTGCTGTCTGAGGCCAGGAGGAGCTTGGAGGTTCAGTGGTGCAGCCGCCTGGCCTCTGCCGACCCTCTTCAGGGAGACCTGTCTCAGCTGCAGGACAGTAGTCCAGGGATTAGGCTCCTGTCACATCAACTGCCCTCTCTGCCAACCTACAGACCCCTGGGTTGTGGATGGCCCCCACAATGCCCACCATTGTGTCCTTGCAGTTAGTGTGGCCAGGCCCCATGGGGAAGTGTTGAGTCTCAGAGAAAGCTCAGAATGGCCCTGGGATGATTCTTTTGCAGAGAAGGGAAGCGGCTTGGAGAGCCTGTGTCCCTGTGTGGGATCCCTGGGTTTCCATGCTGTCCCCTCCTCCCTGGTAGAACTCTGGGCAGGCTTCCCTTCCCTCTGGACCCCTTCCTCCTTCCCCCCCCATAGGGTGGATCCAGGTTGCTCCCAGCATGCCTTTTCTGAAGGTGTCTGTTCTATCTGATCATGCCACAGATTCCAGAACGGAAACAGCCTGCCGTCCCAAAGATCGAGTCTCCAGAGGGTTACTATGAAGAGGCCGAGCCATACGACACGTCTGTCAATGGTATGTCCCAGCGGCTGGGGCTGGAGGGGACTCGCTGCTTTAACCCAGAGGTCGGGCCCACTCACCTGGTGGCCACCAACTCACTCATCCCTGGCTGGAAGGCAGAGGGGCTGCCATTCCCAGAGAAAATGGTAATCAGGGCATTTGGCCTTTGGTCTTCAATGTGATGCCAAGACCCACAGCCACCCAGCCAGCCTGCCAGGAGGAGTGAGGATGGCCCACAGCGAGCAGGCTCATGGTGCTGGTATTGACTGTGCTCCCACCTGGATCTCCTCCATTCATCCCAGAAAGATGGTGGAGGAGGATCTGTTGGCCAAGGGGTGCCCGTCCCTGGGAAGCAATGGAAATGGAGGCCAGACACAGTCTGAGCTCAGCTTCCATGTTCTTCTGTGACTCGGAGTTGTTGTGCTCCCACCGTGTGACCAGGACAAGAACACTCAGCTTCACTGGAAAGAAAATAGATACAAAGAAACCCAGAATACATTGTGCAGTGATAAGCCAAGCGTTAGGAAGGAAAACAGAACCGAGGCTAGACTTTGGCAGGAGAGGAGTGCTTTTCTCTGATGGCATGACTTTGGGCAGATCCCTGAATGTTGTGCCGAATGGATCACGCAGATACCTGTGGGAAGAACTTTCTAGAAAGTGTCAGTATTTGCGAAGGCCCTGGGGCAGAGGCCAGCATGGCAAGAACAGGTGAAGTAGGGGAAGATGAGGAGTGGAGGGCTGCAGGCCATGGTGAGGGCTTTGGAACTTTAAATGAAACTGCAAGCCTTTGGATGGGGTCCCTTAGTGACTGACCTCACTTAACTCCTGCACCCTGTATGAATGGCTACACAGGATGGCTCCATGCTGGAGCCATCCATTCTTGGCCAGTGTTCTCAGCCTGAGGAAGCTGGATCAGAGCTCAGCTTTCCCTTACTATAGTGAAATAGCTGAGATAACCCTTTTCTCTTTATAAGTTAGTTATTTTGGCTCATAGCTTTGGAGGTTCCAGTCCAAGACTGGACAGACCCATTGCTCAGAGTCTCTGGTGGGCAGCTGAATGTCAGTGCAAGCTACTTACCTCATGGCCAAGAAGCAATAGGACAAAGGGGATCCCACCATCCCCGCTGTGAGCACACCCCCAAGGCCTACAGCCCTACAGCCACAGGACCCTTACTTCTAAAGGTTCCAGTGCCTCCCAACAGCTCCACCCTGGGGACCACATCTTCAGCGTGGACCTTTGCAGGAGAGTCAACATCCAAACTTTAGTACCTTCTTCTCTTTTTCTCTTTCCTTCCTTTGTAAGTGAAAGGGTTTTGAAAGCACAGTGTGATTTGCAGATATGCACAGTGACGGTCCCTGCTGGTGGGAATAAACTTGGCAGAAGGGGGCGTGTGGTTCCATGAACAGCAGGACCCAGGATGAGACAGCACCAGTGACTTGGAGCCACGTCAGCTTCTCCTCTTCCTTCACACTGTACCTGCCGCCTCTAGTCCCAGGAACTGTGGGAGGCGAGGGCCTGTCCACCTGAGGATATTCTGAGTGGCTGGCCTTGTGGGTAGACGCCTCTTAGCTTCTCCCACTGAGCGCGTGTGACGTTGCCAAGTCACCTGCCCCGCTGTGATTTCAGACGGCAGCTGAGGGTGCGGGGCTGCTGTCTGGGCCCATCTTGAAGGTAGAGACAGTGACTCACTGCAGTGAGCACCTTTGTGTGTCTTAAGCCTGGCTCTCTAGGGTGTGGCCTGTGCCAGTCAGGGCCTGCCTCCCAGACATGCCCCAGGCCTGTTTGGGAGGGAGAAGCTTTATTTTGACACAAACAAGTGGTTGGGAAGACCTGGTTCTTGGTATTTGTCTCAGCCTGAGTCCCCCTGTTGTTTATAACTGGGACTAAAGGTTATCACCAGGACAGCTTCAGCTCACCCTGGGGAGTGGGTCAGGGAAGCCCTGGGGTGGAGGAAACCCAGCTGTGGAAACCCATAGTAAGGTGGGCAGGAAGAGGGCCTCGTCCCTCCTGTCAGGACAAGGTCTGAGGATGACCTGGGGAGAAGTGGCCACACTTGTTACAGAGGAGGACTTTCCTGCATGACAAGCTGGTCTGTCCTCACTTCCTGCCTGCTGTCCCCACACCTGCTTGGGTAGCGGGATGTGCAGGTTGCAGCAGGAGGAAGGAGCACTGGGCTCCAGCCCCTTCCTCTAGTTGTTTGGCCAATTACTATTTTGCTGACTTCCTGTCACAGGGTCAGTCTCTTGGATTCTTGTCCTGCTTTATCAGCAGTGTCCCTACGTGTGCTGCTGGGATGGGGTCCTCTCTCCAAGCAAAGGTGTAGTGTGTGTCCTGATGGCTTGACATGGGAGTCTTTTCTTGCCCAGGACATTGGGTTCATCATTCATGATGTCTCCTGCTACGGGCATAGCAGCTGCTGTAACAAATAGCTCCATAGTGTCCATTTTTAGTGACAGGACCCAAATCTGCTGCTCACTCACAGAGCAGTTCACTAGGTATTTCTGGTTCCATGTAGTTTAGGAACCCAGGCTCCTTCCATGTTTGGCCATCCTTTCTCTGGGCCACTGAATCCTCTGCAGAGAGAGCAGAGAACCCCTAAGTGTTCCCTTAAAGCACCAGCCAACCCCTCAGAGGATCAAGTGCTAACCTCTGTGGACAGGCGGCCATGTTGCCACATGTGGGTCTCTGTACTTGGGTACGTCCCTCTCTTCATCTTGTCTCTCTCTCCTTGCCTCTGTGCTTCTGGACACCATGCAGGCCATTCTGGCAGATCTCTCCCTCCTGGAGTCCCCAGATGGGTGCAGGTGCCCGAAGGAGTCATTTACGCCACGATCACCTTGGGTACTGCTTGTCCCCAGAACTGGAATGCCAGTGATGCCGTGCCTGATGCCTGGCTTGGAGAGATGGGTGCATGTCCCGAGGACGGCACCGTCCTCTTCCCGTCCTCATGCATGGGTCCTGCATGTGCGCCCCACGTGCTGTCTTGCCAGGGGCATGGTTTGCTCTGCTTTCCACAGACCCCCGCCAGAAATATGGATGAATGATTCCAAGGGAGCCTGCATGGTTGTTCTGCCCTTGGTTCCTGAGGACTTTCCGCAGGACACAGCGGGGCACAGTCCTGATGGGATCACCTGAACATCCTGCCTTTCCTTCCTGCTTACCCTGCGCCCCCTGGAAGCTAAGAACCTGTTTTAAGAGAATCCTACATTTATGGTGTGCCGTGAGCCCTCATAGGGATAAATACAATTGTTAGTACATTTGCCCTAAATTTTCTCCTAGCTGCCGCAGGTACTACCACGGGCCGTTACTTCTCAGTTAGCTTCCTCTTACTGCAGGGAGGAGGACTAGCAGGTGTCAGAATTCTCCACAGAACACACAGGGCCACCTTAGGAGCCCATACTGGGGCTTTATCCGCCTTCACGCTGCCCTCTGGAGCTTCCCTCCCTTAATTTTTTGTTTCTGGAGGAAGAATCCCAACGACATTGTGTCATTTTTTAAATTTCACCTTTTGTACAGATGATGTCATATTGACAATGAGATTTTCCCCCTGTTCCCACTTCCCTATCAGATCAACTGTTTTGCGTCCTCTGAGCTACATTTCAGTCCTGACCTATTTGCAAAGAGACTTCTAATTGTGCTTTCTCCCCGTTGCCACATCTCGGGGAGTTTATTGAGTTGCCAACTAGTGTTCAGTCGTTGATGGATTCTGGGTACATTGGTGCACTGAGTGGATGGAATCAGACTTTCCTTATCCGGGCCCCTTTGCTGACAGCTAAATAGCACTTGAATAAATAGATTCATTCAGGTAACATTCCTCCCTCTTCTTTTTTATCTTTATTTATTTATCATGCTGCTGGGATCCAACCAGAGACCCTAACCTCCAGCCCCTCTTCTTTTTGGAAAAACTAGTTTCCTAGGATAATCTCTGAGGACTGGGATTATTAGATCAAAGAACATAGGTATATTTATGGCTCTTGAAAAAACAAGCTGCCCGATTGTTTTCTGAGAGACTTGTGTGAATTTATGTTACTACCAGCACAGGGTCTCCTTGGGGGGTAGTGCTGATTTTCCATCTTATTTAATAGGTATCAAATTATAAAGTATGCAGGTTTTTTTTTTATTAAGTCAGAAAGAGGAGTAGTACTACACTACTTTAAAAAAAGACATTAAAATAAAGTGTTGTTTTTAGAAATATTAAAACAAAATATATTTTCATTGGCACCACACCTAGAATAGCTGTTGCAGTGACATTGTTCCATTTTCTTACATTCGAACTCCAGTATGGTCTGTACCTTAGTATGCAAGAACCCAGCTATCAGGACAAGAGCTGCTGGAGTCTTCTGGGAAGAATTAGGTGCCCCATGGGCTCTCCCTCTTCTGAATCAGAGTGTCATGGGACAGAAGAGAGGTGTCACTCACCTGAGTTGGTGGCAGAACAAGGACTGCTATGTGGAGGTCACTAGGAGCTAGACCTTGGGCCCTCTTTCTGAATGGGAGAGTGTCCAGTGATCAGGAGGGAGCCAGTTCCCTGTCCGTGGGGACTTCAGGCTGAGCATCAAGGTTATGACAAACAAGAGTTCAGCGCTGAGCCCGGGGTTGGGCCGGGAATCCTGGGTCCCTTTTCCCCAGGTGCTGCTGTTCAAGGATTGATGGGTCGAGCGATGGATTGTTCGGTGGATTTTCTTCGCCTGGTTTGGGGTGGCCTTGAATGCACCGGTGAGGCCTGGAGAGGCAGCGGGAGCAGGAACTAGAAGCCAGGGCAGGTGGAGTGTGCATAGAACTGTGCCTGGTTCATGCCGAGTTGAGATGGGGGATTCTTTCACAATGTGAGGAGGGCTCAGGACTGCTCTGAGTTAGGGACCAAGTAAAGGGACGTTCGGCAGAGAGGGAGGGAACAGAGTTGGGAGGGTCGGAATGGGTTTGCTGAGAAGGGCTGTGACCAGGACAGCATACACGGGGCGGAAGTACCATCTTCCCAGAAAGCTGTTTCCTCCTGTGGATTACGTGGCCTTTTCTCTGACCTGGGACAGATCCAGGTCCAGGATAGAGACCTACAAAGCACATAGCTAGGGCTCTGGGGGCCTTTTCTTCCTGCCAAACCCTAAGAATGACAAAGTGCCAGGCCCAGAGGAGCCTGGAAAGATCCCCACCCCCATGGCTTCATCCTTCCTTAGAAAAACAGGCTGCAGGGGACGCCTGGCTTCTGGGAGCACACAGTTGGTCTGTGGGGCAGTGTGTCCTCAGGGGAATCCAGAGAAGACAGAAAGGCAGAGACCAGGTTTTAGGTTATTTGGGTTTTGTGGCCCAAGGCAGCATGTGAGAAGCCTCTCAAAGGGAATTAGGGACAAAAAGTCAGCTGTGGTCTTGCTTGGTGGCTGTGGGGCTGTTTCGGGGGCAGGAGGGTGGTGGTCATGGGCTTGGGCTGCTGAGGCCTGCTGCCCTCCCCAAAGTCACCTGTTTAGGGAGACGACCTTCCTGCAGGGCCCTGACCAAGCGCATCTTCCTTGCAGAGGACGGTGAGGCCGTGAGCAGCTCCTACGAGTCCTACGATGAAGAGGAGACCAAGGGCAAGGCCGCACTCTACCAGTGGCCCTCCCCGGAGGCCAGCATCGAGCTGATGCGGGACGCCCGCATCTGCGCCTTCCTGTGGCGCAAGAAGTGGCTGGGCCAGTGGGCCAAGCAGCTCTGCGTGATAAGGGACACCAGGCTCCTGGTCAGTTCCCGTCTTCTCTGCTTGGGGGGGAGGGTCAGGGAGGAGAGAGGTGCTCCCTGGTGTGCTCCCAGGGGCTTAGAGCCTGTTGATGTCAGGAGACTGTCACTGCTTCCCAACCTGAAATCACACGCAAGATTTTGAGAGTGCAGAAGAATGTGTTTTTTCTAGACTAGAAAGATCTAGAAGTTTTCATCAGGCTCTGAAAGGGGGCTGTGATTATCACTACCTCCCCCATCCTTCCCATCCCATGTACCCATGTTTGAAAGACACGTCTTTCTGTCTTCTGGTCCTTAATCACCTTTTAGCCATTGGAGCCCAGTGGCTTCCTGAGGCCAACCACCAGCCCCAGTTCTAGCTACTGCTGTGGTCTGAGCAGCATGAGAATCATAGCTATCTTCTCAGAAACCATAACACTTTGAGCTACTAATTCTAAGTCAAGACCCATAAAGGAGCCAGACATAGGACTCTGATGACAGTCTTGTTTCCTGTTACATTAAATTAAAATTCACAGTTCTGAGCTGGCTGTGTTGGCTGTGCATCTGTAGTCCCAGCTACTAGGGAAGCTGAGACAAGAGGATCACCTGAGCCCGGAAGTTCAAGGTTGGCGTGGGAAGCATAGACTTCATCTCAAAAAAAAAAGAAAGAAATCAGTTTTAGGTCCTGACTTAAAGTTACATGGAATTATTATTCTCCTTTGGTCACAATGTACCCTGCTTTGTGTAAATGTTATCGAGATGATCCTGTCAAACAACCCCATGAGATCCCCATTTTACATTGAGGGCAAACCTTCACTCAGGGCAAAGCCTTTACTGCAGGCCAAAGCCCTTATCTGGGAGAGGAAGAAGGTACCTTCCTTTCTTGGCTAACACATCTTCCTGGTGAGACAGGAAATAAGCTTAGTTTTTTGCACCTGACGGATCCTTTACTGGGAAAGCCAAGCAAGAAATACAAATACAGAGAAGTAAGAAAAGTCCGTTCCACCTTGGAGAGCTAAGTTGTCTTCAGGGGACATAAGCTCATGAGCTGCTTAATGATGGCACACGTCCGAGAAACATGTCATCCGGCAATGCGATTGCTGTGTGAGCATCATAGTGTGTACCTACACAAACCGAGGCAGTCACATTATTAGACAATTTATCTCATGATAGGGCCACTGCGCATCACGACAATCCATTGCTGACCGAAACATCTCAAGTTGGGGCATGATTGTATTTTGGGAACCCCCTGCCCCCGGCTCAGAGCAGCCTTGAGCCATTTGGATGAGCAAGGTCCTGGAGCATCCCTACTTAAGGCTGGGGAGAAGTCGGATGCTGGGAATGGGATGGCTGGTATTTGTAGTGGAGGCTCTGGGCCTGCCATAGGGGGTCCAGCCTTCTAGTTTTGGGGGTAAAATCAGGCTCTTGGGTGGTCTTCAGCATTCAGGGGCCCCTGCTTTGCAGAATCCAGTGAGGCCAGTGCCCCTGGCAATGAGCATCTTTTCTCTTCCAGTGCTACAAATCCTCCAAGGACCACAGCCCTCAGCTAGACGTGAACTTGCTGGGCAGCAGCGTCATTCACAAGGAGAAGCAAGTGCGGAAGAAGGAGCACAAGCTGAAGATCATGCCCATGAACGCCGACGTGATTGTGCTGGGCCTGCAGAGCAAGGACCAGGCCGAGCAGTGGCTCCGGGTGAGCAAGGCGCAGGCTTCCTCCAGGCCTCACTCCAGGCCTCACTCCAGGGGCTCCTGCAGTTCTGCTCCCAACTGGGACTGGGCCAGTAGTTGGAGTCCACTTGCCTTTTTGCCCCCCGTGAGGCAACACCAGGCTTCTTATTAAAGGGGTGTCTTCTGCTGCATCCCTGAAGTGTTTACCACAGGCTGTAGACTTTCAGCCAGCTGAACCCTGCGGTGACGTGGGCATGGTCATGCTCCCATCTTACAGGAATAGAGATTAAGGTGCAGAGGGCAGAGGTGACTACCCAAGGTCACCTGGCAAGTGAGTGGCAGCACCTAGGACTGTCTTACCACAGCACTGGGTTTCCCGCCACCACAAATGCACCTGGCCCTCTGCTGTCACTCCCTCCAGGGTGTGATGCTGATGAAGCCCCTGGAGAGGGACTGGCCACCCCAGGTTAAAGATGAGCTTGATGGTTCTAGAAGCTGTAAGGTCTGTAACAAGAAGGGACCCTGGTGAGGCCTATGAGGGCCAGGGCCACCCTCTCCCTCCTTTTTGCTGCCCAGTTCGCTGTTGCGGCCACATTGACACATTTCCAGCATCATTCCCCTGCTTTCCCCTGCCACCTGGCTAAACATAACCACCATGGGGAGCCTGTCAGCAGCAGATCTGACCACCTGATTAAAGTGTGGCTGAAAATGGTACCTGCCCCAGGCACTGGCTATCCCAAGTGCTGAGTACCCCAGTTTTGGAGCAGGTGAGCTGTTTTTGTGAAACCACTAACTGTTTTGAGAATTCTGGCCAGACCAAGTTCTAGGAGGAGCTGGCAGCTATCTCAGCCCTTATTGCAAAATGTCCAGGTGGTTTAAAGGCGGTCATACAGGATAAGAAGGGCCACCAGATGGACAGGCTTGTAGATTGTGGGGTTCCTAAGAGATTGTTAGCCCTTCAGAAAGGCCAAGGCTGGCATTCGAGAGCATGGGCTCTGGCCCAGAATCCTGGCTTCCTCCCTTTTGAGCTGAGTGATCTTGGGTTGGTTCCTTAATGCATGTGAAGTGCTACTGTGCTGCATCTGGGCAGAGTACGTGAAACTGGACCAGCACAGAGGTGACCACTGAGGACCAGAGTGCCAGAGGCTGATCTTGGGCTGCAGAGCTGACTAGGATCTGGGCTTGGAGCTGCTAGTTTGCTTTTGAACTTCTTCGTCTCACCAGGTCTCCCCTATGACTTTTGCCAGCTTTCCATATCCTCACCCTCACCAAATATGTGCACAGGAGCATGGGTGTGTGCACGCACACGTGCGCATACACATTTATACACACATGCATGCACATGTGTGCACCCACACATACAGTGTGGACATGCATGCGAGCACACATTTCCCTTACCCCCAGTTCCTAGTGCTGTTCCCTGCCTGCCCAGACCCATCTCTCCCTTCCCTGACCCCAGCCTCCTGCTCCAGACTCTCACGCCCTCTCCTAAGACCCCGGCCCCCACAGTCCCTGCTGGTGGCTTTAAAGACAAGAGCGCTTTCAGAAGGCACAGCCCATCTGTGTCCAGCCTTCACAGAGGGGCCTGTCTCCCAGGTCAGATGAGTGCAGAGGTGACCTGGCTGTCAGGGCCTGGCTCCAGAAGTCCCTGCCTCCTACAGTGGCTGGTCAGCCTGCCTCAGGGCTCCCCATCAAGCTGCCTGGGATTTGTAGAATCTGCCCACCGTCCCTGGGCCTCCTGATTCTTCAGAATCACACTTGACATATTAAGGACAGGAATGTATGTGCCTGCCCTGTGCTGGGTACTGGACACTCAAGTCCCCAAAGCCACTCTGTAGAGGTGCTCTATCTTATAGATGCCAGGGCTGGGGCTTGGGCCCAAGGTCACATGGCTAGTCGGCCCACCAACCCTCTTCTTATGAAACTGTGTCATATATTCTTTGTGGAACAAAGACCCTAACTGGAGTCAGTGTTGAAAGTGAGAATTGTCTTGTTTCCCTTCCCCATAACTGTTCTTCCTTGTGTTCTTTGGCTTTTGTGATGTTAAGCCCATTCCACAAATTGCTCTAGGCAAAGATCGAAAAGGAAGGGGACTTAAATTGCTCTTACTAATTCTGTACCTCCAAAGGGCTTTGCAATTATGTATATATGTGTGCGTGTGTGGCTGGCCTGCCAGCCTGGGCTGTGCCCCTCTGAGAATCCCCGAGGTGGCCCCTGGCTCAGAAGGGGGGTGGGTGCATTACTGTTTAGTGAAGTCAGAGCCACCTCTGACCTTTGTGTGTCCCCAGCCCAGGCCCTGGGTGGCAGTGAAAAGGCTTTTTCCCAGGGGAGGCTGGGAGGGATGGTAGCGGGCAAGTTTGGAGAGATGGTAATGGTGGTCAGCTCAAGGCAATCGGCTGGCCTGCTCCCGAGTGGCGTGGAGAGTCCAGAGCCAGCCCATGGCCCCCACCTCCAGAGGACTGTTCGTGTCACCCATAGCAGAGCAGCTGGCAGGAAGGGGCTCAGGGAGCTGAAGGCTGGCTGCTCTGGCCATCTTGGGGCTCTGCTGCAAAGGCCCCTCACCGACACCCAGAACATGTGGGACCTGTAGCCATGGGCCTGTGCCACCAGGTTCAACCACTGCAGCCTCCACAACTGAGTCCCATGGGGCCCGGGGCAGGGGCAGTGCTTCTCTGTTCCTTTCAGCTATGGGTCTTCTCTGTACCCACTCTCCCAGCCCCGAGGGCCCCTCCCTTGGTCTGACTGTGTGTGCAGGTGGAAGGGCCTTCCAAGGACCCTGGCCTCATTGAGGGTGTTCTTGCCTCAGGTCATCCAGGAGGTGAGCGGCCTGCCTTCCGAAGGAGCCTCCGAGGGAAACCAGTACATCCCAGATGCCCAGCGCCTGTGCTGTCAGCGGGTAAGGCTCTGCCCGCCTGTGAGTGAGTGCCATCTGCCCTTCTTCCACACGAATTTCAAGTGTAAAATTGGGAGCTTTGTTTTTGTATTTCAACTCAATTAAAAGAAACATACAATGCTTGGACAAGGGCAGTGACTTTAGTTTGGCAGGAAGAAGGATGAAATAGATACAGGGCTAAAATATTTTCTTGCTAGGGCGGGGACAGTGTTATTAGAGCAAAAGTCACTTCGCCCTACATGCTGCAGCTGGGAGATTCATTCTATGAGGCTCTTCCTTCCTGCTTGTTCCCCTGCGGAGCCTCTGGGTGGGGCAGTCTTGACGTGTCCCCTACCTCTAGAGGGCTCAGGGTGCCTTTGCCTGGAGCCTGGGCTTGAGGTCAAGGAAATCGGGTGGAGGGCTGTCACCTGCAGGGTCACCCCTTAGGTCTCTGAGTATCTGCAAGTGGGTACCCTGAAGCCTGGCAGTGCAGAGGGCCCCTGCCAGGGAATGGAAGCAAGAGGGCCCACGCGTCTCTCAGGCCCCTGGAGACGTGCTGCAGCATGGCCACAGGGACTTGAGAGGGGCTGGGCAGTGGTGGTCTCCCGCATTCTGTGGCAGGGTGAATTTGTGTCCTTCCTGTTGAGGTAAGAACTAAGGACCTCTCTGTGGTGTTTCCATGGCCAGGTGCCACTCTTCCTGGGTCCTGCCTCAGGCCAGGCTGGTTGGTTGGGGCCATCAGCTTGCTTCCTAGAATAGGTGGTTGACTGGAATGATCCCGAGTCACATTCAACCAGCTACAGCTAGTCCCCACCCGCCTAGTCAGCGTAGATGGAGATTATCCCTGTCTGCACCCAAGATGCATCTAATCTCTCTTAAATTGAAGTTCTCAATGTAACCATTCCCAGCCAGTGGTTCCCATTCATCTCTCTCTCTCTACACCCCCCCCCCCTTTTTCTTTCCTGTAGCCAGATATAGCTGAAAAGTACCTGTCTGCTCCAGAGTACGGAAGCTCCACAGACAGCCACCCTGAGGTCCCAGAGACCAAAGATGGTAACACCGCTGTGGCTGGCGGCCTCGTGGTGGGGAGGGTGACATTATTCCAGGATGAGACTTGGCCATCTGACTCAACCCTAATGGGTTTCAACAGCTGATTCTAACAAACCCTCCAACTTATAAACCATTGGAAATCCTGCATCTGATAGATCCTGGGAAACTGGAGAGGTGGCCAAATTGAAGTTAAGTCTCATGAAAGGCTGAGGATGGAGTATTCTGTCTCTTCTTGTTTGCCAACCCTACTTCAAATCCTTTGAGCCATATAGTCTGTAAAGAGTCTCAAGTGCTTGTCTGTTCTTATGAGAAGGCCGAGTACCCCCTTGACGGTGTGACTTTGGAGACAGCCAATTCTAGGGAGCAGACGTGTGTGCGTGCGCGCCGCGCACATGCGGGCAGGGAGCAAGAGGGTTCTGGAGGGGCTGAGTTTGCATGTGGGGGGGCTGCGTACAACACTGATTGCTTTCTCTCTCCTCTTGACAGTCAAAAAGAAATGCTCTGCTGGCCTCAAACTGAGCAACCTAATGAACCTGGGCAGGAAGAAATCCACCTCGCTGGAGCCCCCAGAGAGGTCCCTGGAGACATCTAGTAAGAACCCTAGCTGCCTCCAGGACCTAGGGCTGGAGCCCAGACCACGAAGGCAGGGGGTTCCAGGGCCGGTTTAAGCACCTCTAGGGATGGCAAGCACACAGCCCCTGGTTTTAGTTTGTCTTTGTTGTAGGTACTCCTTGTGCTGAGCCGGAGTCGGTCTTATTACAGTGTTGGATCCTTTGTGAAAGGGGAACTAATCAGTGTCCCCCAAGTGTTCTTTAAAGACTGATGCTTAGTTGATCAGTGTGGGGGGTGGGGGGCATGGCAGACACAGTGTCAGGACAGGGGAAGGCGGGTAGAAGGCACAGTCTAAAGACCTTCAGCCCAAGAGAGAGGATGGCTTTTCCCCCTAAGCATGCACTTGGCCTTCCTTGTGCAGTCAGGACTCAGGGACATGGAGAACCTCTTCTGCCCTTGGTCAGACATGGCATGTGGACTTGAGCCTTAAAGGCAGGTGGAGCTGAGGAGGCTAGAACCACCTGGGGCAGCAGCAAAGACTCAGAACAGGCGGGCCGAAGAAGGGAAAGTGAGAAGCCCGTGTGGCTGGACCGGAGGACATTACAGGGGCTGGTAGGTTCTTAGATGTCATTGTCACTGCCCTCGATCCGGAAACCAAGGTCAGAGGGTAAAGACACTGATGTGAGGGATCTTGATTCCCAAGCTGGGGTTCTCGACTGCAACCCTCCTTGGGGCCTGAAGGCCATTACTGTCTGCCTTTGGGCCTTTTCCTCTTCCTTGTGGAATGATGTCCTCTCCCAAGAGTTTTTTCTGAGGCCCAGTTAGGTTCTCTTCTTGTTTGAGGCTGGCAGGATGGTGGGTGGAATAGGAAAGGAGTGGAGGAGTGGTGGTGCACGCCTGTAATCCCAGCAGCTAGGAAAAATGAGGCAGGAGGATCACAAGTTCAAATCCAGCCTCAGCATCTTAGGCCCTAAGCAACTTAGCGAGATCCTGTCTTTGGGGTTGTGGCTCAGTGGTTAAGCACCCTGGGTTCAATCTCTGGTACCAAAAAAAAAAGAAAGAAAAATGGAGTGGTCTCCTGCTTCTCTGGCCAGGACGATGGGTAGTGCCTGGGTCTGTCTGCCCCTGCAGTCTGGGAACCTGATCCCTGTGCGACACTGTCTGGGAGATGGTTGGGTCATTGCTGGAAGTCTACTCTCTCAGCCAACTATGCTCCTGTCCCTTGGGGGCAGGCCAGAGAGAACACAGTGGCTGTCCTCCCCAAGACTTGGATGCTTAAGATCTGAGCTCCTGCCTTTCCAGACCAAACTGCACTTTGTAAGTCAGTGTATCTGAGAAGGTGAGGAGCAAAGAGCTATCGACTCACTGCACAGGTGGAAGGAGGGTCCTGAGGCTGCATTTTACGCATCCTTGTCACTTGCAGGGACAAAGCTGCGTGTGGTAGATAGTATCAACTCAGTAAACACTTATCTGATGTGGGAAAAGCCTTGTCCTCTCCTTGGGAAGCTGAACACAGCACACAGCAACCCTCTGAGAACTAAAGAATGGCATGATGGGTGCTGGCAGCCCGTGTGCCTAGAGGAAATGGGGTCCCTGGTGGATAAGACAGACCTTGGGCATTAGAGAGGCCACGATGCAGTTCCTGACTTTGGGAAGCAGGTGTGTCCAGGTGGGGAGGCTTACGTGGAGGCAGAGTGTTTCACTGGACCAGGTTCCAGGTGCTCTGATGGAAGGCAGACCAAGGGGAGGAGGAGCTGAATGCTGCACAGGCTGAGTCTGAACAGCTGGGGGATGCAAAGGCTGTCGGGAACCAAGAAAGCTGCAGCTGCAGAGGCAGCAGGGTTGAGCCAGCAGCTGGGAGATGGGGTGGGCAAGCTTCCTGCCACAATGACCTGGGTGACCTGTGGTTAGGAGGGAGTGCTGCTGAGGGCCTGGCTGCTTACACACAGAAAGAAAACTAGGGACTTTGAGATCCACAAGCTTCCATGCAATATGAAAGGCATGGACAGTTCTGAAATTGATGCCAGAGGACAGTCTTGTGAGGCCCAGAGGCCCTCCTGCAGCCATGTCCCCTCCTGCAGGTGTGTGGCCCCAGCTCCTTCTCAGCCTCACCCCACTGCATGTCTCCTGCAGGTTACCTGAATGTTCTGGTGAACAGCCAGTGGAAGTCACGCTGGTGCTCCGTCAGGGACAGCCACCTGCACTTCTACCAGGACCGGAACCGCAGCAAGGTGGCCCAGCAGCCCCTCAGCCTGGTGGGCTGTGAGGTGGTCCCAGATCCCAGCCCCGACCATCTATACTCCTTCCGCATCCTCCACGGAGGGGAGGAGCTGGCCAAGCTCGAGGTACCACTGGCCCCTAGGAGGATGTGGGCAGCAGGGACAGCCAGGGCTGGTGGCTGCAGGTCTCCAGGGCTGTGATCCTGCTGAGGCAGGATCCACCTAGCCTCAGGCCATTTTTAGTTCCCTTGTCTGTGATTGTTTGCATTTAAAAAAAAAAAAAATGTCCACTCCTGTTCCAACCTCAGGGTGGTTGTGTTACAGGAGTGGGGCAATGAGCTACTTCCTGCCCTTAGAACGCCCAGAGCTGCCAGAAAGGCTCTAGGATTCAAATGGGTGCTAGTTTGTGTCACCACCAGGAGGGCTGGTACTTAGGAATGAGGACTGACAGAGCTTATCTGGGGGACAGGATTTGCTCTGTGATACATTTCTCCCATTCCCCACCCTCTGATGTGATGTTACATTTATAATCAGGAGGTGACATAATGCCTTGCTGGGAGCTCTGCAGGTGGAGCTGATGGCATATATTTGCCCATTAAGTCCTGTTGGCTTAGTCCTTTATCCCAGGTCTTCCTCCAAATTTTGCTCTAACACTGCCCTCTAGTGGCTAAAACATCCGAATCATAATAGCTTCCTAAAGATGAGCTTGGTCTGTCCATTTGACAATTGGCAAATATCTGCTCAGAACCATAAAGTGGAAGACAAAAGAGACAGATGCCCCCTGCTCTGATGGAACTTATATTCTAGTTTGTGAATGTGAGGATATTTGGCTAATTACCCACTTAATTGCTTAGTTACAGTTGCTGCAAACAAGTGAGGCAAGTACCAGGCAGGTTGGATGGGGACTGGCTGGAGATGAGGCTGGGAGTGGGCAGGGCTTGATCCTAGGAGCAATGGGATCCCTGGCCCTCAAAGGAGGTGGCAGGTTCAGATGTAGATTTCAAGATGCTTCATCCAGCTATTAGGTGAGGGATGGACAGAAAGAGACCTGTCAGGAAGCTACTACAGTTGCCCCAGGCAAAGATGGTAGGAGCCTACACTTGGGGACCCCCATGAAAAGCAGTATTGAGAAATTCAGTTGAAAATACATGGGAGAAGGAAACCAACTACCATCCAATTGGGCTTACAGCCGCCTCTCCATTTAAGAAAAACTCTGTGTGGTATAATGCCCAAATGCTGGTTTTCCTCATGAAGATAAACCTGAAGCTTTTATAGAATTCCTAGATTTTTCTCACTCTAAAGGCAAGAAACGATGTTGGCATTTTAATAGAAGTGCCCAAAGTGTGTGTTGGATTAGAACGCATTATACCCCAGAGGGGAAACACCAAATTCACTGGAATTTAGGTGATAATTAGTAGAGCTACTTGATCTGCTGTTATGACTTCAAGTCAAGGCATCTTAAAGACCTAAGTAAATTTGAATAGTATTCCTTAGCAAGGTCCAGGCAGTCTGGTATGTATGGATTAGAGTGATAAAGAGTGAAGTGAGCATCGTGACACAGAGGTGTCAACCTACAGTACAATTCTTCATTGTAATAACTGTTAACAGTTATTTCTAGAAGCACATATAGGCATATAAATGACCTGATATTTTGGACTAATATCCAGGGCATCACAGAGGTGGTCATAGATGGAAATGGGGTCCCTGGGGGTGGGATATGCTGTTGAAGATCATGCCCAAGCCAGGCTGTTTCAGAGACTTGACAGGCAGGACCGGGATCAGGCAATGGCATTGTGGTGGCCTGGGGGGGAGGCCTGGCTCATGTCTCTCGGCCTCCCTCCAGGCCAAGTCTTCCGAGGAGATGGGCCACTGGCTAGGCCTCCTGCTGTCCGAGTCAGGCTCCAAGACAGACCCGGAAGACTTTACCTACGACTACGTGGACGCCGAGAGAGTCTCCTGTATCGTGAGCGCGGCCAAAACCTCTCTCCTGTGAGTCGGAAGGGCCTCCCGTTATGCCCTCTCCCCCTCCCAGCCCTGCTTCTAGACCCTGGGCCGGGGCCAGACTCTGGTGCAGAGCTGGAACAGAGCAGCCACTGACAGCATGGGCTCAGCCCTATCCTGTCCATCGGCAGGAAGATGTGAAGTCCTAGGCCAAGGGGCAGCCCTCAGGGAGGTCCTGCTAAGATCTGCAAGCTGAGCTGGGCTCTGGCTGGACACTCCCCAGCTCCCTGGGGCAGAGTGGGTTCCTGTCCTTTGTCTTTACACCAATTCAGCACTTGATGCCTCACAGGGAGGCGGAGCTGGGACCGGTGAAAGCCAACCAGGCCACTGAAGCAGAATCCATTTTCTTATGCATAAAACAGGACTAGAGTGGGGTGTACCCTGCCCCAGGGGTATTGTGCAGAGCCAGGGGAGGCTCCTAAAAGAGAGGTGTCAGGGGGAGGTGGCCACAGGATGCTAAGAGGAGGGGCATGGGGCAGGGGAATGTTTTGGGTGGGGGGATCTGGACCCAAGAGTTCCAGGGCAAAGGCTCTGGGAAGAGAGAGATGCCCCCAAACACATGGAGGCAGGCCTTCACCCCCATATCTCCATGCAGCCAAAGCCTTGCATCCTGGCGAGTCCACCCCCTGTCCTGGGTGCCTAGCGCATGCTGTGTCTGGCCCGTGTCTTCCAGACTGATGCAGAGAAAGTTCTCAGAGCCCAACACTTACATCGACGGGCTGCCCAGCCAGGACCGCCAGGAGGAGCTGTATGACGACGTGGAGATGTCAGAGCTGACGGCCGCGGTAAGGGCTTGGAGGGCAGCAGCTCCAGTCCTCCTCCTGCCAGCCCTGTGCACCCCCATGCTGGTGGTGGTCAGGTTGTCTCCAAGATGAGTGGTTTCTAAGTCACCTGAAGGCCATCAGTGTAGACCCCAGGTGCAGCTGGCTCAGTTCTGTACATGGCCTGGCTTGGCCTGCGGCAGTGCTAGGGGCAGGGTGGCACCCTTAGCCATCCAGTCCCACACAGGGCTGAGGTGGGTGTCACTACCCAGCAGTTCCTGGCATGGAGCCTTGCTCTGCTGGGGCTCTGCGGGTGATCTCATTGAATCCCACCCACTACGGGAAGCGCTGCCGGTTCCCTCTGTACAGATGAGGAAGTGAGGGTCAGGGAAGGTGAACGCTGGGCCTGAGTCTTCCTCCAGCCTCTGGAGTGGCACTACCAGGTCTCAACAGGAGGCTTGGCGTGTCTGGGAACCCCGGGAGGAGACAGGCGCTCTGAGGCAGGGCTGGTGCCCCGTCACAACTGGGAAACGGAGTAATGCTGGATGGCATCTGCCTCTTTTGCAGGTGGAACCCGCGGAGGAAGCCCCCCCTGCCGTAGATGCACCCTCTGAGAGTGAGCTTGACCGGGTGTACCTGGACCTCACGCCAGTCAAGTCCTTCCTGTACAGCTCCGGCGGAGCCCAGGCTCAGACCTTCTTCCCCCCGTCTCCACCCTTCGATGATCCAGCTGAGGCCCTCCCTGCAGACCCAGGTCCGGCCCCAGATGAGCCCTGCACCAAGTCTGCAGAGAACCCAGAGCAGCAGGTACAGGCCGGTCCCTGCAGAGGGTTGACCACCTTCCTGTGTGCCCATCCTCCAGATGAATTTTGTGTTTTCTCCCCACACAGAGGCAGCTGGAGAGCCGGGAGCCCGAGGAGCCTTCCCTGAGAATCACCACAGTCAAATTCCAGCCTGAGCAGCAGAGAATCTCCTTCCCACCAAACTGCCCCGATACTGTGGCTGTCACCCCAGCTAGCGCCAGCCCACCTGTGAAGGACAGGTTGCGAGTGACCAGTGCAGGTACCTATGCAAGATCAGCACTTAGCGTTTTGTACTTGGCTCAGAGAAGTTAGCCCTATTCCCTCCCTTTCAGATGAGGAAATAGGTTCAAAGAGGTATCTTCTGCTCCAGCCTTGGGTTCTGAGTCTGGGGAGTAGTTGGGGACAGCCCTAACAATCGAGCTCGGCTGACTTGGAACATCCCCTTCTGGGTCTACAGAAATCAAACTTGGCAAGAATCGGACAGAGGCTGAGGTGAAGCGGTACACAGAGGAGAAAGACAGACTCGAGAAGAAGAAGGAAGAGATCCGGGGGCACCTGGCTCAGCTCCGGAAAGAGAAACGGGAGCTGAAAGAGACCCTGTTAAAGTGTGCAGGTAAGGGGCCTCCAGGTGGGGAGGGTCCAGGGCTGGGCTCTCAGCTTAGGGGACATAAGGGCTTTTGTCGCTGGCTTCCAGATCTCTGGGCCTGAGCCCCTTCACCTGCGGCACACCCTTGTCCCCTCTAGCCCTGTCTGAAAGGCTGCAATCCCACAGAGGGACCCCTGACCCAGCCCAACCAGACCAGCAGGTAGCTGGCTAGCTTAAGGTAGAAATCTTAAAAAAAAAAAAAAAGTACCATTCCTGGGCCCATCTTTCGATGCCCTGCCAAGGCCTTGTTTTGAGATGTGGGTTAGCAGAATGGTCTCTGCCACACTGGTAAAGCATCGACCTCCAGACTCACTCATTTGAAGTGAATCAAAGTTTAAGATACTTGTAAAGCAAATCTGACGCCTTCCTGATTGTCTTCCAAATCACTCTCCTATCGCTGGACAACTGTTTTCTAGCATCTTCCCTCTTGTAGAACCTACTGTAACCTTGAATTTCTGACAGTAGCTTTGTGCTCACTTAATATTTAAATTTTAGAGTTGCATGAACAAGCCCAATAGGCATAGTAGGTATGGGGACAAATGTAGCTGCTTTCTGGGAAGCTTACGATTGCTAAAGGAAGGTCTTGGGGTTGCAGTCACCCAGTTTTTAAATACTGGCTTTGCTGAGATAGTTGTCATGTAGTTGACCCATTTAAAGTGACCAAGTCAATGGTTTTTTAGTATATTCATAGTTTTGTAGCCATCACCACAATCAAGTTTTGGACCCCCCCCCAAGCCTGATATCGGTCATTCTCCCACTTTCTTACCCCAATCTATCATCTGTCACTCTAAACAGCCACCCTCTGTTGCCGAGGTGTTCCTGGCTGGGCTTACTTTTGACTCACCTGATACTGGAGGGCTGGGACATGAGCTGATGTGGGTGACCCAGGCTCATCTGTGACGGTGCTTGGAAAACCCTGAAAGCCCCCGGCTGGTGTGAGGCAGGGACTCCCTACCCTTTCTCCTTAATGGATAGTCCAGGCTGGAGAAGAGAATTTTCACTATGGTTTATTCTCCTTGCAAATAAGCCCTTGAGATCCAGATGATAAGTGATTCTCCAAGTATCGATACTGACCAGCAAATAACTATATTGTCTTTAAATGTCGGTACCAAAAATATCACTTCAGATATTCTCCACTTAATTTTTCTCTATGAATTTTCCCTAAACAGTGGCCCCTCTTACAGCTTGTGTCTGACTGAGGCCCGCAGGTGATCAATTACCACAAAGCCTGCAAACAACCTGGTGGCTGTTGACTCACACTTGGGACTATATTGACCCCATGTGGTGCCATCCTTTCCTCCAGCAATGGGCTCCTGCAGCCTGCAGGTGGTTTCTTAGCCCTCTTTTATGTATTTTATCCCTAGGGGCTAAGGTCAGGCCTCGGGAAGCACAAGACCCAGAGCATAGAGGGAACTGTGGGGGTAGCCAGAGAACCCAGCCTCTCTCATGCTTTAGCTGCAAGAATAGCAAGATCTCAGAACCCCTGCGAGCCCACCAGAAGAGACTCACCCTTCCAAGGAAGATTTCCCAGGCTTTGTAGAACGCTCACACAAGATCTGGACCTAGAGCCTGTTCCCTGCACACACAGGCCATCCCACCTCTCAGTGGAAAAGCTGGACCTGTGGTCTGTGTCCACCTGGGTCCTCCTCCAGCAGGGGTGTGTGTAAACTGCTTCCACTCAGCGTGGCGCCCTGGCCTCAGCTGAAATGCTGTTCTCTGTCTCCAGACAAGGGAGTCCTGGCCAGCTTGGAACAGAAGCTGAAGGAAATTGACGAGGAGTGTCGGATAGAGGAGAGCAGGCGTGTGGACCTAGAGCTCAACATCATGGAGGTGAAGGACAACCTGAAGAAGGCTGAGGCTGGGCCCGTGACACTGGGCACCACTGTAGACACTACCCACCTGGACAACATGAGCCCTCGTGTGAGTGCCAGCTCCTCTGAGCTCTTGCTGGGCCTCCTGGACGTGGGCTGGGGGAAGTGGGTCATGTCTTCCTGCCCAACTCAACCCTTGCTCTCCTCCTGTAACCACAGCCCAAAGCCGCCGCCGCCTCCACCTCCCCCCCAGACTGCACCCCAGTCAACTCTGCAACCGCCCTCAAGAACAGGCCTCTTTCTGTCATGGTCACAGGCAAGGGCACCGTCCTCCAGAAAGCCAAGGTAAGCAGTCACTGCCAGCCTCAAGGGCCAGCAGAACCATTGCTAAGATGTGGCTCTTCTTTGTGGCGGTGGGAGCCAGTCCTGATGAGGGCTCAGCTCTCAACAGAAAGTCAGTGACTCTGGCTTCACTGTGCCTTTGATTAGCCAGAAGGCTCTTACACTTGATTCAAGTGTTCTTATCGGTAAGCCCCAAGGACACTTCTGTCCTTGACCTATCCACCACTTGGCTTTGAGTGGAATATATGGGCCAGCTGCAGCTCAGACCACAAAAATCAGTGCCTCCAAAAGGCCTTCTACCATTAAAATTAAATAAACAAGTCACCCAACAATGGATGGATGGATCCCATGATCAGGTCTCTCCCTGAGGGCTAGACAAAGTAGCATTAGTCTTTACCTCAATTGTACAATAAAGAACATGCCTGGAGTTGCCTTTGGACACTGCTTTTTCTGTCCTGCTAGAGATAGTTGGAGGCACCAACCCACTGGGTGTTCAATCCATTAGAGCAGGTGACCTCCCCTCCCTCACTGTTATGGTCAACAGCACTCTGCCAGAGCCAGGCCATCTCTTAATAGGTGCTCCTTGAAGGAATGAGCACACAGGTTTGAAACATACTCGTCCTATTTGTAACTGCTTCTGTGCTTTAAATTTTTCTGTGTATATAAAGGTTGCTACAGAGAATAACTTTCTTTTTTTGGGGGGGTGTGCTGGTATTTGGTGCTCCAGGAATGGGAGAAGAAAGGAGCAAGTTAGGAAATGAACACCATCTAAAGACTTTTGTGTCATTGGGACCTTGGTGACAATCCTGCTTTGGTAAAGTCTTCACTGAAACAGCGACTCTGAGAAAGGGTGAGTCTGTTTAGAAGAAAAAGCCAGGACTGGGGTACTGTGAATGGAAAGCTTGGTTAAGAGCTGGCTCTGTCCCTTTTTGAGCCCAGGGGAGCAAATCCAAAATAAGGCTTCTTTGGAGACTGGAGTCTATTGGCTGTAAACAAGACATTGTATTTAGGGATGTTCTGTTTCTGGTTTTTAATCAAGTGTTTTTAGTGAAAAGTTTCTGGTGATTAAACTTTGGGGTAGAAGAAAAATTGAGGTATCAGGACCCTGTCCCCCTGGCTTTGGTGACTGAGAAGACCTGAGCGCCATTTCCAATGCCAACAGAGTTGGGGGTTAAACCGCCCTTGCCTTCAAGTTTGATCTCCAGTGTGATTGTGGGCCCAACTTAGTCTCTAGTGATTTTAAACAGCATCAATACCACCTGCAACATGAATTTTAAGAAACAGTAGCTGAGAGAAATATTTGGTATCCAGCTGAGGCACTGATCGCACCAAGGGTCTTCATTCCGGTCCAAGGCAGCCCTGAATCAACTGCCTTTAAATAAAATTGTGATACTGTATTGTATAGAAATGTTTAAAATTCCATCGTTTAGAACAGTGAAAAGTGTCTTTTGAAATCTGACTTTTTACATGACTATAGAAAAAAATTATCCTATGTTTACAGATTCAGTCCTATAGTCAGGCCATTTTGAACAGGAGAATTATTTAATATGATGCTCTGTTAGTTCCTGTGGTGAATTTCGGTTAGTATAGTGTCGCTCTTCCTTGTGCTGTGATCGCATTGTTAACACAGGTTGAAACATTTCATCTATACCCCGCCTTAGTTCTCTAACAAGGATTCCTGAGAGCTAAAAGTCTTTTTTTAAAAAATGTATTGTCTTTCTAATCCCAGGGCATTTATTTCCTATGTCATAAACACTTGGGGACCTGAACCAAGTGAGTTAGTTCTTTTTGTTTTTTAATAAAATGGTCATTGTATTTCAGGTTTTCCTTGTATTTCATGGAATAACTTGGGGCAGGGCCTGATGAACTACTGAGGGCCAAACATTTAAACTTCAAAATATATACAGACTGATAGAACCATAAGATACAATCCCAGCAAGAGATTTCAAAGTCCTCTTACACAAGTCACCAGCTAAGGCTAAAAGAGGATTGTAATAGTAGAAATAGTATAATTAGCAATGTACCAAATTCTCTGGAAACATCTGCAGAAACTGTTTATAGGCATATTGATTTTTTCAATTGCCTATAAGTTAAACAGACTCCTAAATAGTAATGAAAGAAGTTCACGGCATAAATGTTTATTTACAAAAGGACAAAACCAAATTCTGGATCATTAAAAAGATTAATGCAAAACAACAACAAAAAACCCAAAAGCTGTATAGAATTGCAGACTTGACAGAGGCGAAAGTACAGATACAAGAAAGTGCTATGGACATGTAAAAGTCTGAGAAACAGGTTTTCCACGACAGTCATCAAAAATGCTATACATATCCAAAAGAAAAACCAAATCTCACTTTTGGATGTTGATGGAAAAACATCATTGAAATTCAGCAATGTTTTTTGAACAATGATGAGAGTATACAAATGTATAATTTATCACATTAACAGACTACATGTGGGGGGAAAAAAACTTCTTGAAGGGAGTGGGAAAAGCATACCATAAATCTCAATGCTCATAATGAACATTCTCATTCATCAAGAGCTAGGAACAAGCATCCTTCACCTGATAAAATGACCGTCCTTTTTGTTAAGAACCAGTTATGAGTAAGTGTTATTACTGCTACTTTTAAAAACATTCTGGAGAGCCTGGAGAAGGGAAATGACGAGAAAAAGTAGTACTCAACTTCAAAAGGAAGAGACAAAGCTATCATTTATAGATGGTATTTCCCTGGACACTAGAGTGGTCAGAGGGTAGCTGGCACCAGGATCATTCAGGAAAATAAAAAGATATATGATCCATCTTCAGTGCTTTAGTTAATGTAAATAAAACATAATTAAAGCTAGAAATAAATTTGAAATGAAAGAAAAGGGCTTGACTGGTTAGGCAATGCCAGTTCTATTGGGACAATTAAAAAGGTTCATCTGGCCAGTGGTCCATTCACTAGAAAATTCAAGCCAGGTGTGGTGGTACACACCCATGGTACTCAGGAGGCCAAGGCAGGTAGATCGCAAATTTGAAACCAGCCTGGGCAATACGGCAAGATCCTCTCTCTCAAAAACTTAAAGGCTGGGGATGTGGCTCAAGCGGTAGCACGCTCGCCTGGCATGCGTGCAGCCCGGGTTCGATCCTCAGCACCACATACAAAGAAAGATGTTGTGTCCGCCAATAACTAAAAAATAAATATTAAAATTCTCTCTCTCTCTTTTAAAAAAAAAAAAAGGTAAAGACCTTCAATGTAAGTCCAAGTAATCCAGATGAGGAGCCAAATAGCCTTGAACAAGGCAAAGACCCTACATGACAAAATGATTGTTATTAAAGATAATGAATTAATATAATTGATCAGCATCTCCTGGATGAGCATGTGGCCCTGTCCGAGTATTGCCTTCTGAGAAGAACAGTAATAACATAAAATTGATTATCAATAAAAATATCCCTAGAACACAAATGACCCAATGCTTGGGACACCAGACTTTTAATTTTTAATGTCTAATAATACCATGGTGATAACTCTTTAAACACTTTTCAAACATCAGAAATCCTGAATTTCTTAAATTGGTATTTAAATTAAATTTGTACTTTTACACGTAAAACAAAATATTTATATTAAAAAGACAAAAACCATCCCCAGCACCACAAAGAAAAGAAGGAAACACTGATAAAAGTTTCTGGATTTTTCTACTAAAACCTCAACTCTAAACAACATGACCAAGGGAAAGAATTGATTCCTAAGTACTGCAGGAGTAAATACTCAGTTTGCCAGAAAAAAATTGCAAATATTCCTTTTAAATAAATAACACCACCTCTTGAAATACGTATAAAAAAGTGTAAAAAAGCAAAAGTCCCTGTAAGTTTCTTTAACCTTTATTTAAGAATTCTACTCTGCCCCACTAAAAGGGGAAAGGAAGTTTTCAATAAACACTCCATAATTAACTTGTCGGTCGTAAACTCTTTTAAAAGGAAGCCCCACCAAGAAGCTGTCACCCAGAGCCAGACCAACCACACAAGGCCCCTCCAGACCTGGGCCATTTGCACAGTTGACCCCTCCCCTGTAGCCAGCCAAGTTCATTAATTGGTCAAATTCCGGTCTGGGACTTTTCCTAGTGTCTCCCTGACACAGAAGTCACAAACACCAGTAAGTCCCCAAACTAAAAGCAAATGCACACAAGAGATCTTCCAGGAAGTGAAAAAGTCTACACTTTTCCCATTTGGAAGTGCCATTGCTTCATGGTCCAAATGATATGCTAGTAAATACCTTCTGCTGGGCATTACCGTCTCACCACTTCCTGTCTAGCATTTGTGGTGGGCAAAATGAACCCCCGACAGCCATCAGATTTCCCGTAGTCTCCAGGATCTCACGTTTCTCCTCAGGGGAAAAGTGGCAGATGACATACCTCAACAAAGTACAACTGGGTACAGAAGTAAATATTTACTGACATACCTAGAGTCTGCAGTATCACCCTTAGTGATGTCAAGTTCGACTACTGCTCCAAACAGTGGCGTTGGTGGCCAGGGTACCCTTTGCCCTGGCAGAGGCTAGTGGGCACTGCATGGAGCTGGAGGCAGACATTCAAAGGACCCCAGAAGACACACTCCAAAGGGCAGCACCCTCTCAGCTCCCAGGACGCCCAGGTCTCTGTAGCCACTGGGTGGGGTGCAGTTGCTGTCCTCCTGCAGGCTCTTGATGGGAGCCGCGTGTCTTGGGGGCATCTCCTCTCAAGACCCCTGGGGAAGGAAGGAAACTCTGAGGACATCAGCTTCTGAGTCCTCTCTTCAACCAGTCAGCAGTCCCTTCATGTCTTACTTTTACACCACAACCCAACTGTCCAAGTAGAAGATGCCAGATTCTAGACCCCATCTGACTCCCTGCATACCACTCCCCAGCCACTGGAAGTCATCCTGTGTCTGTGGCTGAAAGCCCCCAGCTCCAACTCAAGTTGCCTTCTGATTTCCAGCAGATCTAACTTTAAGCTCAGGGAGAGGAGCCCCAGGTGGGCCTGGAATGCGGACAAGCCTCCTGTATGTCTCCAATCTGCTACCTTTCTCCCCAACCCCACCTCTCTGTCCTTACTCTCAGCAGATGGCTCTTCTTCCCACATCACTGAGCAAATAGCCTCAGAAAAGAACTCCCATAGGTCCCAGCACATCTACTCACCTGCCTGCCTCTGGGCCGAAGCCCCCATCTTCACCCCCATTACCATCCTCCTAACTGAGGTCTCCCTTCTAGTTCTCATTTTCCCCCAGTGTGTGTAGCTGTATATAGCATACATGTCATATGTGTCTGGTTTACTGTCTGTCTCCACCCTAGAATGGAAGCTCCATGAGGGCAGAGTTTTATTCTACATACGGTTGTCTTCCTGACACCCAGAACACTATCTGGAATGCAGGCGCTCCTCCTAATGTCTCATGGGTGAATGAATAAACGATTGAATGATAGAACCTGTCTTTGAGTTTGTGGGACTTGGCAGGATTCAGAATACCACCCCCAGTGCAGCATGCAGAGCAAGAGCCCACTCACGGTTCTCACAGTGGGGGCCCTCCCAGCCACTCCGGCACTCGCAGCGGTAGCTCCCGTTCCGCAGGACACAGGAGCCGTCATTCATGCATGGGTTGGGTTTGCAGAGGTTAACTGGCTGTTTGGCTTCTGCAAGAGAGAACATGCCCACTAGGTCCATCCTGGGTCAGAAGCAAAGATCCCTACTCATAAGCCCAGTTCAGACACAAGGTCACTACAGTAGTATCTCTCACCTCAGCGTCTCCATTGTCCCTAAAGCAACAACTTGGCACAGGGCTGGTGCTTCACCCTACCTTGCCAAGTGAGTAGGACCCACCTTGCACCCTGCCTTCCTACAGTTTTACTGTATTATCATTGCCACATACTTTTTTTTGGCGGGGGGGGGGGGGGAGCGGTTACTGGGGAATGAACTCAAGGGCACTCCACCACTGAGCCACATCCCCAACCCTAATTTGTATATCTGTATTTTATTTAAAGATAGGGTCTCAGTGAGTTGCTTAGCACTTCACTGTTGCTGAGGTTGGCTTTGAACTCATAATCCTCCTGTCTCAGCCTCCTGAGCTGCTGGGGTTGCAGGTGTGCACCACCACGCCCAGCAAGACACATACTTTTTAAAAGGTGGAAAGAAGGTCACTGACAAAATGAAGGCTTGGAATTAGGCTGGCCTGGCCCTGTTGGCAGCTAGCCTGTCATTTACTACCTAGGTTAGTGTCAACAGAGGGTTCTTATGGCACTGAGAGTTTCCTTGACATGTCATTTGTTTAAATGGAATGCACTAATCTCAAGTTTGGTTCCGTGAGTGGGATTTACCACATAGGCTGGCACACAGAAAGCGAGCCCTCAGGAGCTGGGAGGAGCTGCTTTCCTTGTAATGATGCAGGTGAAGGCCCAGGTGGAGGTCCCATCCTGGGTGCAGCCCTACAGGGCATGGATTTCCCACTCACCTCCACATATCCACTCGATAAGCATGTCCCGGTGGTACCGCAGGTTGGTGTAAGCTGCTACGTGGATCAGGGAGTCTCGAGGACCAGCGAGCCTCCTCAGTGCCTCCCTCAGGACAGGCCCCACACCCACCACCAAGACGGAGATGCCATTATTTCTCAGCTTCTGGACAGGGACAGCTGCGTCTTCTGCTCCTCTCCCACCTGTGAGCATCACTACAGCCTTGGGGACACCAGGCCGGGCGCCCCTCTGGACAGTCATCACCTTGTCGTGGATGTGTAGCAAGGCTGTGCCGGCCGAGCCCACTCCCCCCAGGTAGGGGGCCTGGCTCACGGCCCGCAGCACGGCAGCACGGGTGAGGTGGGCTTCTAGCCCGAAGGCTGTCTGCACCTGGCTACCGTACACCACCAGGCCAACCTGTGTCACGTCAGGGTTCACATCAAACTGGAGGGCACAGCTCCTCACGAAACTCTGCATCTGAGCAAAGTTCTCCGGTCCCACTGAGGCCGAGGCGTCCAACAGGAAGACTAGATCCAGGGACTGAGCCTGGCAACCTGCAGGGACAAGCAGAGCAGGCCCCTTGTCTGGACCTGGCCAGCACAGTGGGGACTGTCTGGGCTACATGGAGTCCAGGTCAGCTAGTCTGTTGTCTGTCCACACAGTACCCGCCCTCCTCCTCGTGGCCACAGAACACCCAGCCCCAGCACACAGGCAGGTATGTGAATGCCCAACTAGACCACGCTCCCAGCCTCCCTGGCAGCCAAGTGTGGCCACGTGTCTAAGCTCCATCTGAGGGGGTGTGATCCAAAGTCATCAAGCAATTCCAAGTTTGAAATTTGCAAACTCAGACTTATGCAAGTGAAAGCTGCTGGCCTTCTCCCTCCCCTTTCCCCCTTCTTGCTGGCAGAGAAATAGTGACCTTGGACCTCAAGATGGCAGCCACAGATGGCTAAGCACTCTACTGGCTCAGGCCACTCAGCTCTAAAAGGTATGTAAAAGGGAAAAGCTTCTATCACGTGTTAGTTGTTGAACTTTTGGGACCCCTGTGACAGCATCTGCACCTCCCATTACTGCATGCACTGTACCCAGGGCACTATCATACCCCATGTACGAATGGACCAAAGCCTGCTTTGGGGAGCTGTCTATGGGGTAGTGACAGGAAATGAACACAGAATTACAAATGGATTGAGCAGTGAGGACAAGAGCAGGGAACTAAGGGAGGCCAGTGGGGACAACATGATGAGCCTAGGAGAGAGGTCAGGGCTTCTCGGGGGAGGTGATACTTCAGCTAGAACTGCAGGAGAAGTCAGGGTGAGCTGGTGGGACAGGGTGCCTCTGAGCCGGGAGAAAGCCTCTCCCATCCTGCAGGGACCAGACCCAGGAGCTCCCAGCACCATTGGAAGAGTGTAAAGAGACCTGCTGAATGTCCTCTGGGGATCTGGCTGGTGTTCTGAAATAGATGGACATCAGGTTTTTTTAAAAAAAAGGTCTGACTACAGTGTGGATGGTAATAAATAATCGTGTTGACATCAGCTCATTAATGATGATGATGTTCCACACTAATGTAAGGTGTTAACAAAAGAGGAAACGGGGGACAGGCCATGTGGGAACTCTCCACTATGGTCATAGTTTGTTTTCTGTAAATCTACAACCATTCTTAAAAAAGAAAAAACAAAAACAAAAACCTGGCTGCCTTAGGAGAGGAGAGAGGTGGGAGTAGGCAGGCCAATCCTTGTGGTCCCTTCATAGGAGGGGGTGGTCCCCAGCCGCTGGGGAGAGTGACAAGGACTGAGAATCCGGGTCCCAGCTGCAGCTTCCCACCGCCCATCTCCCAGGGAAGCAGCAGGGGACCCTGTCCAAGGTGGAACCACAGCGCCGATCTTTACATACCAGCTGCATGATCAGCGCTGTGGATCCAGCCTCAGTAGGGAGAGAGGATAATGGTTAAGTGGTGCCCAACAGAAGGAAGGACCTGCCCACTGACCAGCTGGCCCAAGTCAGGCACCCGACCTTACCTGGCAGGGGCCGGCTGCACAGCTTCCCCTGCAGCTCAGGGATCTGGTTGAACAGGCCCTGGGGGTCTGGGTAGACCATCACGAGCTTCGGGCTGCCAGTGATCTCCTCCAGCTCTGCCCGCACAGCCTCGCTGCCCACACCCAGCAGCAGCAGTTCTCGGGCCCTTGCACGATGCGCTGGGCCAGCCACCTCGTCCTGGGAGTGGGACTCGGTGAGCAGGACCACCACTCTGCGCGGCCGGTCCTGGCCTGTCCTGGTGGCACTCCCAAAGCCACGTTCTGCCACCTGCTGCAAGGCACTGCCAGTCAGGGTGGGGCCACCGCTGAACGGAACGCCGTCGATGCTCCTGACCAGGTCTGGAATGTTCTGGTACTCCCCGATGGGCACCACCACCACCAGCTCCCTGCTGTACCCAGCCACTCCCACGCGGGCCTGGGAGTCCTCGCCCAGCACGGCCTGCACGAACCGCTTCACAAAGGCCTTGGCCCGCAGGAAGCCCTCCAGGGTGGCGCCTTCAGAGCCGTCCAGCAGGAAGAGGACATCGATTCTGCACTCCAGGCTCAGCTTGGGGGCTGCTGGAATACACAGCGACACCCACTGCCACACTGTGGTTGGTGCAGGGTGTGGATCAACCCACCCAAGACACCCCCACACTGCCAGGGGCCAGAGACACCAGGTGACCAGTGCCTGCAGAGTTAGACACAGCTGTAGAAAATCTTTGCCTTGAGCTCATGAAGATAGGCTCCTGTGTTTTCTCTTAGAAGCTTCTCTTTTGCCTCTTCACATTTAGGCCTATAACCCTTCTGGCAGTAGGTTGTGAGGTATGGGGTCAACATTTATTTTTTTCCATATGAGTCTCCAGTGAACCTAACACGTCACTTTAAAAAGTCACATTTAACAAGCCCTTACTATGTGTCAAGCACTGTGGTAAGCAAATTACATCAACTTGTAACTCAACCACCTGTAGCTGAAGCTTATATAGTCTTCATCTTTAAAAGGGAGGCTGGGGTTGTGGCTCAGTGGAAGAGTGCTTGCCTAGAACGTGTGACACTGGGTTTGATCCTCAGCACCACATAAAAATAAACTAAAAAAATAAGGTATCATGTCCATCTACAACTAAAAATATATTTTTTTTTTAAAAAAGGGGTTTGGGGGCTCCTCATTTCTCTTTTTGCAGAAAAAGAAGAAAAGATTCTGCCCAGAACCAGGCCACAGAGTTGGGCTGGCTCAATGATGCTCCAACATCAGCCAGGAGCCACTGTCCTGCCAGAGCTCTGCCACCAGGACGATTTATTCATGAAGCACTTATCTATTCAGACACCACATGAGGTGTTAGAGTGGCGGAGTACTGGGAAATTAGGTGGCTCGAAAATTCAAGGGCTGAGTCTATTCAATAGCTACAATGGTGGGAGGTGAGAAGGGGGAGCCCAGGCTCCACCCGCTCCCCAGTGGTCAGTCCTGCGAGTCCCACACATACATACCGCAGTTGGCCTCCCCTCCAAAGGCCAGTGGGCAGAGGCAGTGGTATCTGTCCAGTCCTTCTGGAATGCATGTACCACCATTCTGGCAGGGCTGGGAGTCACAAGGGCCTGTCGGAGAGATACCAGATAAGAGCCATGCACACTGGCTCAGAAGTGAAGAGCGCTGGTCAGCCAGGGGCCGAGTCCTGCAGGGCCCAGCCCCTTTCCTCCCCATTGCCCAGTAGGAAACCAACCATCCCACCTGGGGCAGAGAGGGGACAAACCAACAAGTACCTGGAGGCCGCCCTGGGTGGGGCTAATAAAGGACACACAGTGGGGGATTGGTAGGGCCCTGTGTGAATTACAGGCCCACTCAGGGACATGCTCATGGGCTCTACACTTGATCTTAGCCAAAAGGCCGAGAAGCGATTGCTCATGGGCTCTGATACCAGGAACACAGGCCACAATTACTACAGCTGCTGAGGAGGCCTAGAGGAGCCAGGGGCAGCCATGAGTCACACTGCACGCAGCTTGCCAAGGGTGAAGAGCTCAGTAACATCCAGAGGACAGCGGGGGTGTCTTAAGACTCAGGGAATGCTAGGGGGCTGACAGGGCCCCTCCTTAAGTTCTGCCTGTGGTTGTTCTTAAGGGCCCCTACAGCCTGGCATGGCAACAGTGAGCCTTCACATCCTGCAGTCAGGCAGCTCGGTGATCAACGTGGCCACCGCCCCTTCCTCTGGCACCTAGATTCAGCTCTTCTCACTTCTGTATCTTCATCTAGAAAGGGTGCTGATGACTGCACCCTACGCCACAGGGTTACTACATGCATGAGATGAATGAATCTGTGGAAAGTCTTAACCCAAAGCCAACACTCCCTGAGAGGTGACGCAGCATTTGCTTTTGGCTGCAAAGTGCCAATTATGAATGACGCCTCAGAGTTGATGTTTTACACAGGCGAGCATGCCTAAGTCAAAATCAGGCCCATTCTGAAGGGTCTCACTGCTGGTACCTGGGATCACCATCTCAGCCCCTGATTAATGTGCTCACCAATAATTGCCAGCTGCAATAAAGCCCCATGAGAACAAGCAGGAGATTCCTGTGCTCATGTCTCAGAAGGCTTGGTGAGCAGCCTTCTGTGTCATGAGTGGGATTGGGGAGCTGTGTCCTTTTTGCTTGAAAATATTGATATTTTACTTGGTGGCCATGTCACTGGAAATAAAAGTGCAGACTTTCCAAAGCCAGAAAGTACTGAGGCTGACTCTGGGAGTTCTGGGCTACTGTCCTGGCAGCTGGAGCATCGGGGAAATTCCTGGAGGCTCATGAACTGCAGCAACAGAGGCCTCCAGTTGAGCATCCGCTGTGGGCCCGGTACCATGCCAACTGCCACACACATGGCCCCATTTCACTGTTACAGCCCTAGGAGGTAGGAACTGCAAAAACTGCCACTTTACAGATGCAGAAGCTGCAGCTCAGTGAGTGGCAGTCACGGGTGGAACGTCAGATGGCTGGCAAGGGGCAGAGTGGGGACTCAGACCCCAGTCTCCCTGGTTCCCAAACCATAAATCCTCCAACTCTAACTTCTGAGCAGCAGCAGCCCCATTCTCAGTCTCCCCCTTGCCCCAGCTGTGACTGGGTGGAGTCATGGGAGCAAGGACCATCCTCCTAGGGGCTGGAGGGAGAAGGGAGAGGCCATGGCTTGTGCTGGGAGGTAGGGTGCATTTGGAGGAAGGAGGGATGCTGGTGATAGGTGGGAACCCACTCTCTGCCCCTAGAGTGGTCCTGCCACTGTGTGGATCCCAGGGCTCCCGAGAGCCTGGGCCCACAGCACAGAGGCCAGTGATGTGAGAACCGACACTCTGAAAGGGAGGCCCGGGATCACCCAATTCCTGGAAGGCTGCCCGTCTGTGTGTGAACTACTGGCTGTGTCTCCAGAGACGGGCTCCTGCCCCATCAGGATGAGCAAGCTCACACAGGGATGGGCAACCACACACATGGGGGTGATGTCAGCTTTCAGGTCAGCAGTACGCACATGACCCCCGGGGGAGGAGCAGTCAGGGTGGACCGGGAACCATGCTCGATGGAGCACAAAGGCGTTGCCAATTCCTCATGTTGGTGTGGGATTTCACAGGGGAGGAAGAACATCCATGGGGATTATCTGCTGAACCTTCACAGGGTCCCTGGGTATGGGACCACCTACTGTGTGGAGGGGGAATGGGGAACTCAGATGTTGGGCAAACAGTAAGCCATTTTTATAGAGGAGGGAACCGACTGGGTATCTTGTCCTGAGTTTGTCACTGGGTGTGAACAGTCTAGAAAGCTGGTGCTCAAGAGAAGCCTGCCTGTGTCTCTCACCAAGGAGCAGAAGATAAGGGGGCCGAATTCCAAAGTCGCCATTCCATTATCAGTGCAAAATCACCAGGAGCAGATGAAGAAAGAGCACAATAAGCACGCACCTCCACCTCAGGAGGGCCTCGTCCCTCTTGCCCTGCTGCAGCCTGTCCCAACCCTGTCCTCTGCCCCAGAGCCCATTCCAGCTCCACCCTCTGCCCCAGCACTGTCAAGGCCCCTTTTCAAACCAATCTGGACCCAAGGCCCAGAAGGAGCCAGAGAATCCAGGAGGCAGACCATACCTGGGCAGGTTGTCCTATAGCAGGTGGCAGGGTGCGTGAGGAGCACTTTCTTCCAGCTACAACCCAAGGAAACAGAGATAGAGAGATCAAAGGTTTTAAAGATGACTATTTATAACATGAAAGCTGATATGAGATGCCAATGCAGAAGTGGGTCGAGGAGGACTTCCTTATTTTCTTTCTGGACCCTACCCTCACTTTACCATCACAGAGAGGAGGGAAGATTTCAGACTACCCACAATGCGGGGAGTGAGGGGAGTACTGAGACTTGGGCCACCACAGTCAGGCTGTGTGACCCAGGTGTTAGTTTCCTTCTCTGGTTCAGGGCCCTCCGCTGGACAGTAAGACTATCTGTAGTTTTCAGTTGCTTTCCTTGGAGCTTTGATGATGAGGGAAGGGGACCGAGTGGCCAAGATGCCAGGCCTCCCCTGAGTGTCCCAGCCCTTCCTTGTATCTGATCTGTACACACGTGTCCCCAGGAAGCCCCCAGAGTTGAGGAGGATTTGCAGACCACCTGGCTCCTTGACATGAGGATGCTTGAGTACCAGCATCCTGTGATAACACAAAAGCCACCGTGCTGAGGTGGCTTCCACAAGTCAGGTGTCCCCATTGCTACTCTGAATCCACAGCTACATGAAGAGATGGGGATCTCCATCTCGTAGGTGGGGAAATGGGTTGAGAGGGCTGAACTAGGCTGACCAAAGTCACATGGTCACTGGCCACACCAGGGCTGAAACCCCAACTGGGACCATCTGACTCCAAAGCCCACACGCTGCCCACGGGACTTGCCCCAGCCCTCCAGAGTCTCTGTGGCCATGGACCCTGCTGCAGCAAGAGCAGTGCCTCAGCCCCCCTCTGTGTTGGAGGCAGCACCAGCTCCAGCCTCACCTAAGGAGGCTCTTGGGACTTGGCAAAAAGTTATCTAAAGTTCTCCAACAGGGCTTCGTCCAATAGGATCCTGCCCAGGGCTGCCCATCCAGAGGCAGGCTGATAGGGCTGACCCCGTGGGCAGGGCCTATCCTGAGGTCAAGTGGGATAAAAGCCAAGTGTCAAGTAAGAACTTGGGAGTGGCTCAAATAAAACTTGTGCCGAGCTGCGAGCTCATGAAAGAGAAACCTTCCTCCCTCCAGGTCTACTCCTGGTGACCACAACACACAAATCCCGGCCCAGAAAACTCTGTGGGCCCCACCCCTCCCCCAGCTTTTGTTGGGGCAGAAACTGCTGACAGGGACTTGGCTGTCGACGGCCATCAGTACAAGGCTTGTCCCCACCTCCCTTAGGTCTGGATGCAATGCCACACACCCTGCAAGGCCCTTCAAGGTGACTCTATTTCTAATTGCAACCCTACCCCCAACCACCTGAGACAGTCTGGGCTGTGTTCGTGAGACTGACAGACGGACGCTGGGAGCTAGGCCCTCCTTGTTCCCCAGTGCTCCTCCTGGGTCCCCCTTCGTCCCCTGTCACATGCTCTGTATCTCCAAGCGCCAGGTCTCCGAGTGCAGCTTTCCCTGCAGCTCAGGAGGCCTCGGCACTGGGGGCTTCCACTCCCACCCAGGTCCTGCAATGTCTCTGCCCCCAGACCACATGGACAAACCTGTAGAAGGGACACCGCACGGCCAGCACAGCGTCAGCCTGCCGCGACCCTCTCCAGCACAGGGCACCATCAGTGAGCTCTTGGACGGTCTCCAGTGTCTTGCGCTCACAGGGATGAGCCTCAACTCTGCAGTCTGTGTCCACGGCACATGGCAGAGAAGACACCACGAGACAGGGTGATGCCCCCACCTCACCCCCGCTCCCCAGAGGGTTGTTCCCAGGGTCGCACCCTGCCTCTGGACCTGGCACTTCTGGCCTCTCTCAGGGTAGAGAACCAGGGCCAGGGGCCAGTCTCTGAGCATCTCCTGGGCATGGCCTGCCCCACCTGGCTGTTCCAGACTGTGCATCTGTGTACCTTCCACCTAATGAGAGTCACTCTAGCTCAGGAATAGACACTGATGAGGACGCCCAGCCCCAAGCTTCCCGAGCTCCTCTGTGCTAACCATGGCAGGGGAGCAGATGTGGCTCCTTCACCAGAGCAGCAGGAGCCCTACCAGGTCTGGATGCCAAACTCTGGGCCCCTTATCCCCCTCCCCTACCCCCACCCCCAGAGCCAAGCTCAGAGCTCTAGCTGAGAAACCCAGACAGGGGTCAGAGTCCAGGGCAGGGCGGGCTGTTTTCCTTGCCCTCAGGAACACTGCCCCACCCCACACCCTGCTCCACACGGGCAATGCCACTCACCGCAGGCTGGGCCGTCCTACCTGGATCAGCAGGGCTGCAGAGCGCGGAGCTGCTGAGGGTGCTGAGGAGGCCGTTGGTGGCGTCCTCCACTTGCTCAGCCAACAGCACATGCTGCTCCGTGGGCTCGCTGGCCAGAGTGTGCAGCTCTTCCCACCTGTGCCCAGAAGTCCCGGTGGCATGTGATCCCATGCCCACCCATCTCCTGGACCACGGGCTCTCTGTGGACAGCACCCCACTACCCAGAGGCCTCTCTACAGCAACCTCCTCCATCTCGGATATGGGCGAGGACTGAGAAGTGAGCCACGGGAAGCCCAGCCAGGGGTCACCCTGTGCACTGTTAAAATCCAGGGATCTCCTCACCCTCAGAACCATCGGCTCTTATTAGAGGCACAGTCCTGACAGGTTCAGTTGTCTGATTTGCAAAACCCATAGCTAAAATAAAAGCAATCAGAAAGCACACGGAGGAAAGCAGTTTGAAGTAACAGCATGGGAAAAGCAAACCAGCGCAACTAGTGACAGGAAACACCGACGTATTCTAACTGGTGGACACAAGAACCCCAGCAATGAGAGGCCGTCCAGGGGAAGCAGCCCCAGTGTTCGACGGCATCATCGTCAGAGCCCATGACAAAAAAGACAAGTGGAACGATGATACCTGGACCTGAAGAAAGGATCACATGACACTGAGAAGCCTCTTTATGGGATGACAGGTAAGCAATGCAGAGAGAAGAACCCTACCATTGCAAATCCATCACAGTGCACCAGGCTTTGGCATTAGGGCAAAAACTTCATTTATGTCCGAAGTCACTAATGTGGAACTCCCCCTCCTGTCTGAATTCATGTGAAGCAGATCTTTCTCTCAGTGCCCAGCTCAGTGCCTGGCACACAGAAGGGTTGGTCTAGCATTTGAACAAATGCGACTGTGGAGGGAGCAACCAGCCACAGCCCCCCCTCTCCCCTGGTACCAGGAGTATGCTGTGACTGAGGCCAACCAGAATTGGATTACCTGAAACTGGCCCAGGGGCCCCTCTCCAGGGTGGACCTGTGAAGGCATGAGCTTCAGCACTACCCACGGCCCCAGTGCCAGCTTCCTGAGAACCAGGCAGAGAGGACAGCAGAGACTCTCGAGGGACAGAGAGAGTCTTAATGACACTGAAGCCCCTGGCTCCTGCCTACCTACCCAGAGAAGCGAGATGACACCACAAATTTCCATTTCTGCCCAAATAAGCTTAAGTTGAGTTTCTGTCCTATGCAACCAGTTTTGTTTAGATGAAACTGGAGATGATGCACCTTCTCAGGCTCCCAAAGGTTGGGACACCCTGTACACTGGAGCCCAAAACAGCTAAGCGGGGAAAAGACGAAACCCAGCGAGGAACACGGTTTTCCCAGCTCTCCTGCCACAGCTAGGAAGGCTTTCGGCCTTGCTGTGGTCCCCTGGCTGACCACTGAGGACAGAGCAGGACCCCTGAGGCACTTACCTGGGAAACCGGACCCCCACGGCAAACACAGTGATGCCCCTTTCCTTCAGCTGCTTGGCGGGCAGTGCCACGTGCCCCTGGGACTTTCCATCAGTGACGACAACGAGGAGCTGGGGCACAGAGCCATTTCTACCCCCAGGGAACCCTCTGTCCAGAAGGTACTTCAGAGCAAGGCCCGTCTCTGTGCGTCCCCCTCTGAGGGCGCCGAGAAGGAAAAAAGAAAGAAGAAAAGTCAGCAGGGCAGGAAGGTGAGTGGGAGAGATGGCAGGCGATTGATGGGTCCTGTCATCAGGAAACGGCCGCCGACTTCTAGCAGAGGCTCCAAGTGATAGTGCCACCCTTAAAACCATAACGATGGTGGAGGCTGACTTTTTCCGTGGACTTAGGAGTCACCCTGTACTCCCGTTATGCTAGGTTCCGATGCCCTCCCTTGTAAGTGCAGGGGTTTTGTTTTCTCCCCATCCGCAGTAATGACTCCAGGCTACCGATTCTCATCTTTAGTCTGTCATGCACCCCCCAGCTCCCTCTCCACATCAGCCCCTTCTTGACATGGCTCAGCATCTTCCGGGACCAGGAAAATAACTTAGCTGGGCCAAGTTGTGTTAAGAATCTGTAGGAGTGATGGACGGGGCTTGGCGCAAGACTCTGGTGAGGTTTTTTTTCCATGATTCAGGACTTTGTGGGCCCTGTCCAGGTGCAGGGTTGGTGGCTGGAAGGCAGAGCTGGCTGAACACCTGCGGATCAGGCCGCAGTGGGCCAGGGCCAGCGTTCCTCCATTTGGCAATGTTTGCAGGATTTGTCTCATCCTCACAGCCCCATCGTGGGGGCTGTGGACTGGTCTTGGAACCTCAGCAGGATTTCTGCTGAATCTTGAACCAGTAGGTGCCCCCTTTGGAAAGATGACTGCTGGTTTTGAGAGTCAGCTGGTCAGAAAACAGTAACTCACTCAAGCAGATTTTAGGTCACTGATTTGTCCCACTTTAGCCAAATCTTTTAATGGGTGGTTGCATGTCCAAACATGAGCACAAGCGTCACTACAGTGATTAAGAGAAAAACACCAGCTGGATATCACTCAAATGCTGACTACAGAGGGGGGTGGGGCACCACATTTTATACTCAGATTGTGCTCTATTGGCACAGACAATGCCTGTCTTAACTCAGCCCTCTCCAGAGCCTAGAGTCATTCTCCCAGTGTGAAGACGTCCAACTGACATGAAATGCAGGCCTGGAATTGTGTGCCAGTGTGCTGTGCTGCTCTAAGTTAACACTAAAAGTGGCTATTGCCCATGCAAATCTGCTGCAGGCCTCTCTGCCCGGGTACCTCTCCTGGCTGGCTCCCCTCCAAGCAGCTACACAGGAATCCAGGCTCCTTTCATGTTGTGGTCCCACCTTCCTCTCAGTCCTCAAAGTCCTCTACTCAGCAGAGAGATGTGGAAAGAGAATGAAAGTTGTGTCTGGGAAGGATTTATGGAGCACACCCAGAATATTCTCTACTTTTATCGCTTTCTATCTTCTGCCAGCTCTTAAAAGGCAATTCTCTTTGTGGAGCTCTAAGTTAATAAATGTCAAGAAGAATGGACAGCTCCTAGAATTAACACTTCAACCGACAATATGTAGCAGCAACTCCCATCAATTTACAAAACTCCTTTTCTCAGCCCACTCATATTTACTGTGAACTGCTAGAGGGAAGACAGCGAAATGGAAACCAAGCAGTGCATAAGCTGGTCCCACGGCTCAGTGAACTCCCAGTGTCCAGGTGAGGAGATACCAACACAAGCACGCAACCCTGAACCAGAGTCACAAAGGGAATCACTGTGGGATGCAGCAGAAATAGGCTTCAGAGGGGAAGGATGGTCCAAATGGGGCCTTGGTATCCCAGGAGGGGAGGGGAGGCAGCCTTTCCAATCAGAGGAAGGGGCGTAAGCAAAGACAGGGGTGAGCAACACCAACCGTATTTGGGAGCTAGTGAATACAGCTAGGTTTTGGTGTCAGGCTTGTCATGGAGGACTGGAACTAGAGTACACTAATGTTGGTGGATCCTAAATGCCACTAACAACTCACCCTGTGCTAGATCACACATTAGACACCAATGATGACCAAGTGGATTCTGATTCTCATGATACTTCTCCTTTGCCAAAGCTCTATATCTGTAGAATCTTCCTCTGGAACTCCTGGGAGGGCCGATTGCCTCCCATGTTCAAGAGATATTAGCATTGAGCTTCCACTGTGTGCCAGGCACTGCACACACCTGTTCCTGAATGTAACCCTTGCAAGTATGGCAAAATGTGCCAATATGCTCGTGTGACAGAGAAGGAACCCTGCTCAGAGAAAACCAGTAATAACTGCTGATGTTTACTGAGCACCTCCCACATCACCACACAGATAGTGATGACCACGCAGCTCATGACTGGTGCAGACAGGACTTAGATCCTGGGCCCTCTGCTTCCAAGACCCCAGTTCTTAACCAACCGGTTACTTGGCTCGTCAAGCCGCCTCTTACCCAGCCAGTGGAGGTCAGAATTCAAGTTTAAACCCAGCTGGGCTGACTCTGAAGCCAATGCCCTTTCCTCTCCAGAGCTTAGCAAATTAGAGTTCAAAAGCCAAATCTAGTAGACTGCCCATTCTGTAGATAGTTTTATTAGAAAACGGCCACTCCAATCATTTATGTATATCTGTGCAGAAACTATGTGGCCTGCAAATGTTTAAAATTGCTTACTATATGAGCCTTTTCTGAAAGGATTTACCTATTCCTGTTCTATACTCTTCTGTTTATATGTTCACAAAACTCTCGTCTCCCCAGAAGCTGAGGTGGCCTGGGACCCTGCAGGACTCCACCCCAGGATATCCCCTGTCCTCTGGACCCCTCTGATCATCACTGCTCTTTTTAAGGTTCAAAAGTTTAGAACCAAAAAAAAAAAAGCACTTGTTCTCTATGATCCTGTTCTTGTGTTTCATACAGACCTGCCCTTGACCCCTTCAGTCAGAGTCAGACTGTTTTCCTTTTCATTCACCACTGGCAGGGGAAGCATTGGATTAAACCCAGATTTTTTTTTTTTTTAAAGAGGGGAAAGGCACACATGAAATTCATTGCATCCCTCAGGCACGGGACTATTGCAGTCCAGATTTTTTGAGTGGGACTGGGCCTCCCTGTTCACAGAGACTAGCCTATGATTAGAGAAAAGTTAAATTCTGAGGATAAGAGCCCAGGTCACCTGCTGCATGGCCTGATGGTACCCACCCTTCATGCTCTGCAGCTTCTCCTCTTCTCACCCCACTGGGCCTCTCCCTCGGGAGCACTGTCTGCTGGCTTCCAGCCAAGGTCAGGTGAGAGTCCCAATGGCTCTGACCTCTGGGAAACCAGAAGATCCCACTTCTGACTCCATGAAGCATTTCTATCTCCAAATTGAGTTCAAGGGCTGGTTCCAGATAGGGAGGTCTGAGGCCAGTGCACCAAGATGTGCCTAATTTCTCTCAAATGGGACCAACATGGGTGGTAAGTTGAAAACTCACAGGGGGCTATGTGTTTGTCATACATGGACTTTTGGGTTTTTTTTTTTTTTTTTTTTTGAAGGGGGGCAATGGAATCTGAATTTTATCAGCATAACCAAGTGATTAGGAATAGGGGCTCATGGGTCCAGGGGTTGAAAGATCACTACTGTGATAGCTTAGCCAGGTCAACTTGGAAAAGTGACTTAACCCAATCCTCAGTTTCTCTCCATATTAGGGTAGGGGAAGGCATGGTGCTGCCTGAGAATCAAATGCTGTGTCAGCACCTCCTAGGCTCTCAAGTGCTCCGTCAGTAGCAAAGATCTTCATGAACCACCAGCAGCCCATAAGCAGCTTATCTTTGGAGTTTAGTCTCCAATTCTAGCCTGCATAAAATCCCCCAGGAGATTTAACACCATAGATTCTTGCATGCTATTCCCAGGGAGTTCAAATTGGTAGGAGTATCACGAGGCCCCAGAATCTATATTTTCAACCAGTTCTGCTCAGTCCCAAGTGATTCTTACAATCGAGCCAGCTGTGGAACAGACGGAGAAACACTCCAGAAGAAAATTCAGTCGGTACAGGAAAGTTGGTTACATCTTTGGTTTTTAAGCAAACAAAAATCCTAGAACCAACCTAAATATTTCCTTTTGAGGAAGGAGAAATGATTAATTACACTGTGGTAGCTGAATTCTTTGGATTATTTGATAATCATTAAAAAGGATCAATATGAAAAATAATACAGTGTCAAGCAGAAGTACACATCAAATAATATTAAGTAAAAATGCGCCATAATTCTAACTATTCTAAAAGCTATGTTTAAATGTTAAATGGCTCGAGAAAGCTCTAAGAGATTTCATGCTAAGGTAAAGTGGTGATTGTCACAGAGTCCTGACAAAGCTATAGAGGGCGTGGAAGCCGCTGGATCACAGAAAACCAAGGTTGTGTTCTTTAGAATAGTGAAATGAGCAGAGCAGCCTGCACTGGCCAACCGGCCAGGAATTCTGACTCTCAAGAACCATTCGCAGCGTTTTATCTGATGGGTCATCATGGGGCACCATATTGGGAGGCTTGACTAATAACTTCTTACAAACAGTAATAAGGTAGTTGTCAAACACACTTTTAGGGTCTTGCCTTGGTCTGAAAAGGCAAGTGGGTCTTGCAGTTTGGTAGAGCCATTTGATCAGCCTAGCACTTAAAATTCCCCAGCAGATAAAGGGTGCGGAGCTGTGGGGAGGCCATCCCTCAGCAGCCAGTGTTCCTGAACATCTTCCTTTTCTGTGTCCTCAGTGACCCCACAACTATGGCCAAAAATGAGTCACTACCTCCCTCCCTGTTTGTGGCCTCTTACAGTTGAGTTAGGCTACTTCAGCGCTGACGTGCACATTCCCAAAAAAAAAGAGCCGCTTTTGCTCAGATACATAAGAGGCTTCGTCCTCCTCCCAAGCACCTTCATCTGGCACATTCTTAGAGTGACTCCAGGTCTCATGGCATGAATAATACTCTCAGCCCTAAGTTATGACTCTCAATACAACTGAAATGAGGCTCAACTAATTTGGAGTCGGGGAGGACAGCTGGGTGGGGCCAGCATCTACCTGTGTAAAACAGGGAGTTGAAAGACATTCTAGATGATCTCTAGTGCACCTTTTGTACCAATTCTTTGAAATTCACTTGGTTTTTCAGATGAATCATTTGAAACAAACTCACCCAAATGGTCTTTGACTTTCAATCTTAAATTTAAAGAATTAGGCTTTTTTTTTTTCCCCTGCAAAGGCACATTACATGTAGTGTGCATATAACAGGTACAAAGTGTTTCCACTGCGAAGGCACATTACATGTAGTGTGCATATAACAGGTATGACAAGCTTATTAACATACTTCACTGACCATAAAATTCATCCTTTTACAATACACACATTAGTGACTTTTTAGTGTGTTCACAGAGTTGTTCTAGCATCATCACAAAGTCTAAAACATTTTCTTCAGCCTAAAAAGAAGCCCTATACCCATTAGTGGTCATTCCTCAATCCTCCAGCTCTGGCAGAAACAAATCTACTTTCTACCTCCAAATATATTTGCCTGTTCTAGACATTTCATAAAAACGGAATCTAGGGCTTGGTGGTGTAGCTCAGTGGTAAAACGCTTGCCTAGCACATGCAAGGTGCCGAGTTCTATCGCAGCACTGAAAAAAAAAAAAGGAATCATACAATATGTGACCTTCTGTGTCTGGCTTCTTTCACTAACACTCTTTCAAGATTTATCCATGATGTAGCATGAGTCAGTACTTCATTCATTTTTATGGCTGAATAAGATTAATTGTACAGATGTACCATAGTTTGCTTATTCAGATGTTAACTGCACATGAGCGATTACACTGTTGCTCTGAACATTAGTGTGTATGTTTTTGTGGAGGCATATATTTTCAATCCTCTTGAAGTGGAATTGCTAGGTCATATAATAACTCTATATTTAACATTCTGCGGGACTGCCAAACTGTTTTTAAAGTGATAGCCTGGCTTTAAAATCCTATCACCAAGGTAGGAGGGTTCTCTCTGTCCACATCCTTGTCAACCCTTGTTATTATCTGTTCTATTTTAGCCATCCTTGTAGGTATGACATGGCAGTTCCCAGTCTGCAATTTCAAAAGCCCTTTTCCATGCAGCAGACAACTACACATAATAGCAGCAAATATTTTTTTAAACTGTATTTAAATCACCACCTGGGACATTTTTTATGTAATTAAAGGGAATTTTGAGGAGGAAATTTTCATTACATGCTACACGCAGCTGGGGTAATGCCCCCCCCCCGCCCGCCCACCGTGCTCTCAGAGAGGCCAAGAGCTGGGCCAAGCCCCTCAAGGGAAGGATTTAAGAGCAGCTGGCTTCATCCCAACCAGGGCAGCATCTGATCATACATACTTGAAAACCATCCTCTTGATTTTTGCCTTCACTTCCTGTTGAGTTGAAAATGGATCCAAGGGGAATTCCAGGTGAGGAGTGGAACTGAACTGGAAGGCTCCCACTCTGACCTGCAGCGGGAGACAGGGGCCCAATTACAAATATTCCAGAGAGGAAAGAAGGGACGAGAGAGGCCAGCAGCCTTGCCTCCTGGCCACTCAATGAATCCCAGAGCCAGAGCTCTCACCACTGTCCCTGAAAGAAGGCCCCAAGACTGGCTGGAGAGAGTGGTCAAATCTGACTGCGGTCCCCATTAATCTTCCTGACCCACGTCCCCCAACGCAGCGGGACACCCACCCTGGCAGCTTTCCTGGCTGAGCTGTGAGCAGCCCTAGGACAGAGCTCTGCTCACACTGGCCAAAGGCCTCCCGGGCCGACACTGCTGTCCAGTCCTGCTCCGTCCCATCTAGCCACAGAGGCACGACTGGTGAACGCCCACATTATTGTTGGGGAGAGTAAACTCTGCAGGGGATAAAGATGTGGCTCAAGGCAAAGGCCCACTTGCCCACGGCTAGCAAGGGTGGGAGCTAGGCCCCTGACCTTAGCTCTCTGGTCTTCCCTCTGGCTCCATTATTCTGCTTCTCAGCAGCCAACGCCTGCTGACCCAACCCAGGGGTCCGGGGAAGCTAACCCCGGCCCCCATCAAGGGTGGTGATGGCTACCACAGCGAGAGCCCACGTCTTTTGTCAGTCAGGCAGCCCCTCCAGACCTGCTCCTGCCAAGCTAGGCCAGAGTCAGAGGGGGGACAATCAGCCCCCAAAACCGAGATGAGCAACACAGGAGCTGAACTTCCTCTGCACTGAGAGAGTGACAGCACCGGTGAAGGCTCCGTGTGCCAATTGAGGCCACAGGAGGAAAACCAGAGAAGGGAAACAGTCGAGTCATCCGGTGTCCCTCACCATGAGGGCAATTTATTAATATTATTTGAAAATTAAAAATGCAAAGGGCTGTGGGGAATTTATCCTACAGATTCCCTTCCACATACATGAAACGACGATTATAGACTCACGGTACATTTGTATAGCGAATGCCCATCAATGGGGGTTGGCTAACTAGACTGTGGGAAACCCTTATGCTGGGAAGTTGGCTGTAAAAAAATAATATAAATCTCACATATTTTTATTTTGACCTAAATTTGTATAGTCCTACAGTAAGTGTTGTTTCTAATTAGAGATGTAAAAGGAAATTTCATTTGTAATAGGGAAAAGCCCAATAAAAAAGGATATTCATAAAAAAAAAAAGAGGTGGAAAGATTTCCAAGATGATGTGATGATAATAAGACAAGAGACAGAACACGGAGAGGACTAAGATACCCTTTGTGTAAAAGGGGGGAAATAAGGACACTATTCATAGTAGCTTGGATTTGCAGGAAGCGATTCTGGAAGGCTCAAGAAAACAGGCAGGGCACCTGGTAAATGGAAAACGTGTGGGCGGAAGACTTCGCTCTGAACATCTTTTTATTGAAACAGATGAATGGATTAGTTTTAAAAGGTAGGGGAAAAAAAAAAAACCTCCCTTGAGAACAACAGCTGGGCCTGTTTACTCTCCAACTTCAAAACAAAACATGCCGGAAAACAGCCTGAGTTAGTAGTTAAGGCATTTAATTTAATTGGTGGTTTGGGAGCAAAATAGCTGCCTTTTATCTTCAGTTTACTGTACTCAGAAGCGAACCCGCCCAGATTTCTCACCACACAACAGTTGTTCTGTCACCATTATACCATTAGAGCCAGGAAGTCAACTTCCTAGCTTTTAAGTGTTGAGAGGAAGACTTCAATCACCTGAAATCCACCCCAACAACACAGCGTTCATAAAAGGCCCTAATTTAAAGCTACTTGAGAAGCTCTTCCTAAAAACCTGAGAAAGCAAAATAAGGTGCAAATCAAATGCCTTGGACCTGGAGGCAAGAGGAGACACAAAAAGCCAAGAACGCAACCAAAACCTGAAGCCACAGAACACATGACTCCATCTTAAATCCCTTCCACAGCGTGAAGGTCTGTCCACGCACCTTGAAGGTCAAGTCACACGCTCACCCAGGTAGACACCAATTCTTTGACTTCCCAGGTCTTGCTACAAGAATATCTTTTCAAGTCCAGTCCAGATTTAACTCCCTAAACACTCACATTCTGTTTTCTTAAAAAAAAAAAACAGAGTCATAGCCAGATGCAGTGGTCCATGCCCGAATCCTAGTGGCTCAGGAGGTCAAGGCAGGAGGATTAGAAGTTCGAGGCCAGTCTCGGCAACTTAGACTCCATTTTGAAATAAAAAATCAAAAGGGTTGCAGATGTAGCTCATTGGTAAAGTAACTCTGAGTTCAATCCCCTTAACCACAAACAAAACAAAACAGCCATTCTGGACTCCCATGTGAAAATGAAAATCAGGGTCCCCCAAATATAAATGTTTCCTCTCACTATCCTGGCCATCTTGGGCTCTGTGTGTTTTGCCAATATGAAACCTAAAATCAACCCTAGAACTTCATGCCACTTTCTCAATGTGGTCTAGCAACACTGAGCTAGAGTGCTCCCCAAACTCAGGATCTGGTCCTATCATAAAGTATTTTCGTCATGGTTTTCTTACCCTTTCCCCATACCTTTCTCTCAAAACTGCCACAGCAGGCTGTCCATCTGCTGTGTGAAAGCAGGGTGTGAACTGAGTGTCACCATCCCATCCCAGCCCAGAGGCTACCCATGGGAGAGACAGATGGCCCATGGAACTAATTCTGGGCTGAGAGTCAAGAGCCCCAGTTCCTCCACATTTAGCCCTCTTGAGATTGCTGTGTGACCCCAGGAAGTAACTTTGCCTCCCTGAACTTGTTTCTTTACCTGCAAAACATGCACCAATAATCCATACGGCTTTCCTCTCCCGGCTTTCCATTTTTTGGGGTCTGGAGGCCACTCATGTCAGAACACACCACATCAATCCCAAAGTCAACAGCATGTTATCTTTATGTCACGTCTTCCAGGAAGAACTAGTGAAACTTCAGAGGGAATCATTTGCAAAGAAGCACCCTACCTGGGGTAGGATAGAGATTCAGCAGTCCTCTGCCTGGGCTGACTCCAGGTAGAACTTCCCAACTGCTCATTCCTGGGTGGAATGAAGTCTGCTATGGTGTCTGGCGATGACCCTGTGAGACTTCTCACACTCCCAAATGACAGGCCATTCCAGGGAAAATCTGGCCCTCATTAAAAGCCATGCTTGATCCTAAATTCTAGAGATTTTACTAAGATTAGCTCAGGAATGTCAGCCTGGAAAAATCACTTCCTCCCTCAACCTGTAGGTGACTATGGAATTCAAGTAATTACGGCTTCCCAGACCAAAATGTCCTTCTGAATTTCTATTTGAGTTTTGAGTAGGTTCACATGACTCAAAATCCAAAAAGTATAAAAACAAAAGTCTGTGGCTGGGTCTCCCCTCTGCTTATAACCCAACTGCTCAGTTCCCAGCCCCTCCCCAGCAGGATTCACTGCCCTTAGCCTGTTCCAAAGCCCTCAGTTCTTTAGGCACACACGAGCAAAGACAGAATGAATCATATTCTTTCATCTTCATTTTACATAAAAATGGTATCCTACACACCATTTGCATCCTTACTTTCTACCTTAATTTTTTCTGTGTCTTTCCATATGGGAGAGCTTCCTCACTCTTCCTGCGACTGCCTGGTGTTTCATTATGTGAATGCACCAGAGTGGATTTATCTGTCCCCTATCAATGGACATTTGGATTGCTAGAATCTTTTACAAGTATCCATGAGTAACTGTACGAGCATTATTCTGCATGGGTGCAAGTGGCCATACAGTACCCCAGTGGAATTGCTAGGCCAAAGGTTCCAAGCCTTTGTCATTGTGATGAATGCTGTTGGATTGCCCCATGTAGGTCACACAGTTGACACTCCCCCCAGCAGTGCATGGGAACACCAGTTGCTTAAAGATATGCTCATGCAGCATGCCACCAACCTTTGGAATTTTTCCTAATCCAGTAAACAAAAAGTGACGCATCAGTCAGAGATACGTTACAGCATTGAGTTTGGCTGGGCATCTTTTCACATGCCTAAGATCCATTTGTGTTTTGTTTTCTCAAAATTCTGTTTATTGGCAATTTTTCTATTGAGTTGTTTAAAAAAAATGCCCCTTTTAGAGACAAGAGCCACACTCTGCTGATGTTTAAGACCTATTACTTGAAGCCAGGAAGAACAAGAAATGAAAATAACTATCTGGACTAACTCACAGGACATCTTTCCAAGCCAATAGACAGGGTAGGAGCTGCTCCAGTGTCAAGACTCAGGTCTGCTCAGTGTGCCCTCCTTCTCATTGTTCTGCAAATACCACTTCTTTTTCTAGTGGGAAACAATCCACATGGTCCCCTCAAAACGTGGAAGAACAACTGACTCAGATTCAGACAGACTCTTCCATGACCACTGAGATTGGCCAAGGGATTACCATGTGACCTACACCTGTCCAGTTGGAGCCCTCCTGGGGATTTTGCCCAACCTATAAGGAAAGAAGTCCACTTTCTTTTTTCCTGGGGCCACTAGCTTGAAGGATAACACAGAGCAACTCTGCTGTGGGAAACCTTCCTGGAAGGAGGTCAACCAAAGAAGTAAGAGTGAGGGGAAGGAGAGAGGGTGCTTCACAGCTCGACTGAGCCCTACCCTCTACTGTGCTGGAGCCATAACTGGGATTGACCCTTTTGGTCTTCCCAGTTCCAAAATCCAGTAAATTGCCTCTTCTATTTAACCTGTTAGATGCCAAGTGTTCAATTCTGTTAATATTTCCATGAAATTGACACAGGTACCTTAAAGTAGGTTGGAAAACATGATCTAGAGCTTATACACATTTTTACAGTAATATTATAATTAGAATATTAAATTACTATATTCTATATTATGCAATTACATATATCATATTAAGTTTTACAGGTGTGGGACAACGGGACAAAATGGGTTAAGTTTGGACTTCTGTCGCTTGCAACCAAAGACACCCTAATATGAAGATCAACAAGACTTATACTCACCCTCCCAGGGCTGATGTCCAGAGCGTCACATACGGTGATGGCAAAGTGCTTGGACCTTTCAAAGCTCCCTTTCCCGATGCTGTGAGAGCCATCCAACAGAAACAGGACGTCCATCGCAGCCGAGCACCACATCACTGGGGAGAGTGGGACAGACAGGAATAACTGAACTAGATTTTCCATATCACAAAGACTTTCATCAAGTCCCTGCTTGTGAACTCTAGTTTGAGCTCTGTGAGGAACAGCTTCTGGACCAGCCTTGGTCCCAGTCCTTGGTGCCACAGCCTAGACCAAAACACGATCAGGCACCCTGGTAGGTGAGGCCACGTTCCTCAAGAGTTCAAGTAGCAATAGTGACAGCTGTGGTTACGCCTCTCCTCTATGCCGGCTCTTCTTCTTCTTCTTCTTTTTTTTTTTTTTAATATTTATTTTTTAGTTATCGGCGGACACAACATCTTTGTATGTGGTGCTGAGGATCGAGCCTGGGACGCACGCATGCCAGGCGAGCGCGCTACCGCTTGAGCCACATCCCCAGCCCGCCGGCTCTTCTTGAGACACTTTAGAAACCTAATTCAGTTAATTCTCATGACTACCCTGAGACAGATGACTATTTTATATCTTTGAAAGTTTTATTGAGGAATCATTACCACAGTTCACAATTCATCCAGCTAAAGTGTACAATTCAACATACATACATACCTATTATATTCACAGATGCAGTCTATCATCACCAATCAACTTTAGAACATTTCCTATCGCCTCAAAAAGAAATCCTGTATCTTTTAGCTACCTGGCCCCCCCCCTCCCAAATCCCCATCCCACCACTCTGTGGAGATCTGCTATTTTATTCTCACTGGTCAGATGAGGATAGCAGAGCACAGGACAAATCAGTAACTGTCCTAGGGCCAAAGGACCAGGAAGTGGTGGAGCCAGGATTAATCCTGGGCTGTCTGGCTCCCCTGACCTCACCAGAGGGTGCAAGGGAACCAGAGTCAGAGGAGCTCCACAAAGATGGCGCCCCCCAGAGGGCAGCGCTGGGGCTGCAGCAGAAGAGGGGTTTCACAAGAGAGGATAGGGGACAGGCAGGGCCCCTGGGTACATCCTGGTATGGCTTGAGCTCATGGAGGGATGCTGATAGAGTAGGAGGAGGAGGATCATGGAGGGACAGAAGAGTGGTTGGGTAGATGGTGGTCAAGTGACAGAGGCCTTGAGGTACAGACCAAGAAGTTCAGCAACATTCATTTACTGAGGTTGTTTTGGCTGTTGTTTTTGGTTTGTTTTTTAACCAAGCAGAGTGACCGTGGTCAGGCCCCTGTTTGGGGAAAATGACTCTGGTCACAGAGTGAAAGGAAGCCAGGAATGGGTGGCAACCCAGGAGGAACAGGGCTTCCCTGGGCCTGTCTCTGGGAGGTCTGGACGGGTGTTTGGGTGTATAACTGACTTACTTTTGCTGGCGGCTGCAATCTTCCCGATGGTCTCTCTGCTCACATGGACTTCTTGGAGAGGGAGCGAGGGCAATACTAGGAGAGAAGACACCAGGGGCCGTCATGTGGGGGAAGGACAGAGAGAGCCTTCACCTCCTCGTGGGACCAGGACAAACAGGTAACAGGGCAGGAAACAGATCGTCGGGAGGCCTGATGATACCTGCATTGCACAAGGTCCCACAGGGAAGGCTGGGCTGGCAGCTATATGTGTGAGGCCCGGGTTCAGTCCCCAGCACAGGTACGTAATCACCACATAGAGAACATTAACAAAATGCCCCATTCCTATGAGGTATATTTGTATTTAGATTGGGGATTTGAAAAGTTTAAAATACCTGTAGAGGGGATAGGGAAGACCTGTGATTCTGAAGCCTCTGTCGCTGGTTAGGTGTCCTACCTTTGTCCCCCATGGGTACAGCACCTTTCACTGTATCTAGGTACACCCTTGGAAGCCCCTAACCCACTGCCAGGCCCTCAGACAAAGCAGCTCCGCTCCATAAAAATTAACCTTGGAGTGAACAGAATTTATAGAAGCAGATTCACAGAAAAACACTATGAAAAATAGACAAGTGACAAAATGCTATAATTTGACAATTTTAAATGTGAGAACCTAAATAAAATTCTAAATTTAAATATTAGGAAGAAAATTTTCTGACTGTGATAATGTAAGCTGGCACAAGCCTTCTGAAAAAGTTTGGCTAAATGAATTAAGAATCATAAAAATGCTGACCCTTTGATTCTATAGTATATTGCAACTAGAAATTGATTAAAGGGGAAAACAATTTAGAGATGAGAAAAGGTGCATTAAGACCGTCCCCTTCAGTGTCATTTGTGCAAGAGAAAACAAAAATCCAAGCAGAGAAGTCAATGAACAAATGTTGACAATACTTGGTCAATACAATTAATATAAACAAGGGCTGAAAGTTTCTCGGTAAAAAGTTCATGGATGATTTCTTTTATTCTTTTTGATACACAGTCAAATAATAATTGTGGCAGATGAGCAATCAGTAATAATTTTTAAAATAAACCGTGGGGCTGAGGGTGCAGCTCAGTAGTAAAGCACTTGCCTGGCATGCACAGGCCTGGGTTGAGTCCCCGGCACCAAAAAATTCAATAAATTCTAAAAATAAACTTTGAAGACAGAGAAATCATGCCAAGGAATCCCCAGGAAAGCCAAAGTTGAATGTCCTGAAGACACCAAGGGGCCACCTGGGGTGGGGAGGTGCGGGTATTTGGAAAAGGCTGTGCCACCACACAGAGACGTCCAGCGGCAGGAGTATCCAGGAAGCTGCTGGATGGATAGCAATGTCTGTGGGAAAGCACAGAGGACACAGGCCAGGTACAAGCCCAGGAGCAAGCCAGGGCAGGGGGCAGATGGGGCAGCACGAGGGTGACGAGGGAAGGAGGAGAGGGGAGGCAGTGGAGGGAGGAGAATCACACAACACAGGGCCCTGGGCTCACAGGGTTTGCAACTGCCAGGAAGGAGATCCAGGAGAGCACCAGAAGAGCACGCTGGGTGGGGGTAGGGTGGGGGTGGAATACCAGCAACCAATGCCCTGCTCCACCTGTCTCCTCAACACCCCCGAACTGGTCCTACCTTCCCCAGCTCCTTTCCCCCTCTCTGGGCCTCAGTGCAAACTAAACCAGTCTGTAGTGTCCCCACCACACATTTGAGCAGATAGTTCCTGCCCCCTGATGTGGCCTGCTGTCCCTATTCACGGAGACTAGGTCACCTAGGTCACTATGCTGAACCAGCAATGAACTCCACAGTTGAAAGCAGTGGGACATGAGATCTAAGACAGTCTGCACAGCTGCTCTGCTACCAGGGCAGACACAGGACAAAGTACAGGGGAAGACTGTAGACAGACTTAAAGGGGTAACACCTTCCACAGAGGCAGGGGCAGTCCTTCAACACTCGGGCTTTCTGCCTCAGGGCACTCCCAAATCATGCAGGGCCGGCCAGAATACAGCCCCCTGTGGCCCATTCTGCAATGGTGGTTGTTCCCAGGGTCCCTTCAGGTACATTTTCCCTCCTCCATCCTTACAGCCTAGCCCAGCTCTCTACATGCAACATGCAAGCACTGAGGTTCCCAGACATGGGTCCAGGAATTATTGGCAAAGGGTGCAGTAGCTGAGGAATCCCCAGGATCCTGCAAATAACAGAAGAAATACAGTGTCCTTTTAAATGTCTTAGCAGGAGACTAGCCAACCATATCAGGACAGAAGGTCAGAGGAGCTCCATGAACAGAGGCCACTCACTAAAGATGTCACTCATCTAAATGGGTCCCTCTGCACCATGTGCTCAGGGGTTAAGGCAGGTGCCATTCATTGGGTGAGCCCATTGTGAGCCTGGGTGACATCTAATGCTCTCTGTGAAATAATCTAGGGACCCTGAAGAGTCTCCCCTGGAAGGGGGAGCTGCTTAATGCACAGACAGGCAGACTGAGCAGCCAGACTGGAGACTCCTACTTCCAGCCCCTTGGGTCTGCCCAGGTTCTGGAGGACAGGCCAGTAGAGATAGCAGCCAACTGAGAAGACAGAAAATACCTGTCACCAAAACACACCAGGGAGGACTGCAAAAGAAATGACACTCAGTGCTGTAGCCACCATGGTGGTATTATGGAAGAGCATCCTGAGCCAGTCTTGTGTTAGGTGTTGGAGATCAGAAGCTATGGGAGGTCTGACCTGAGCTGAGGGTCTAAGAGGAACTGTGCAGGGCATTGAAGGATAGGTAGGAGTTTGCCAGGGTAGCAAATGTTTGGGTAAGGGGGTAACCCAGGCTGAGGGGGTAACCTCTATGAAGGGAGGGAGCAAAGGTGCCAGGCAGGACAGGAAGGAGAGTGGAGCTGCAGTACAAAGTGTGCAGGAGAAGGGGTGCCACAGGGGACCCGAGACAAGACGGTATTACACAGGACCTGTCAAGAGCAATGAAAAATCACTTAAAAGTCTTAGGTGGGGTTGATATGGGTCCAGACATGATCCGATTTGCATTTTTGAAATGGCTGCTATGTGAAAAATGGTTTGGAGGAGGATCTAGGGAACCCAGCTGTCAAGTCAGGAGGCTACCTCAGTGGTCCAAGCCCAAGACTATGGGGCTTTGGCTAGGGAGGTGAACATAAAGTGGAGACATAAATGGATCTAAAAGTTAAAACCAACAGTGTCTGAAGCAAATCAGATGTCCAATGTCTTACCCCTTCTGCAAAAAAAACAAAAAAAAACTTACCTCTGGAAAACAGGAAAATACAGATGGCTTCCAGCAACAAGAAAGAGGGCATGTTGACGTAACTACAGGGTCAGGAAAAGAAAAGCAGCATTAGTAATGAATCCTGTGAACAGTTCAAGTCATGCCATCGAAGGAGATGACAACTATTTAGCTTTTTGAGGCCACAAATAGGACCCTGAAGGCCCCTCTTTGCCATCATACAGTCACCTGGAGAAGACACCGATTCCCAAAAAGCCACTTTACTCCAACAACTTGGACTTTCCGCAGCCATCTTTCTCAGAATACCACACCTGCCCCCAACCCACTCCGGCTCCTCTACAGCTCCTGAGAGGGCTCTGCAGAGTTCAGAGTCCTGGTGCTCAGCCTGGCCGGCCACTTGTGCCTGGGTAAAATGACTCCCCTTTTGGGGGTCTGCATTTCTTCATGAGGAGTTAGAAGCTGACAAGTTGAAGATTTGAGCTCAATGACCTCATTTTCTGAAACCTAGCAAGTCACCCAAACTTTCCCTAGCTGAGACAGTTGAAGAAAGTCTGCATTTTCTACATTATATGGAAACAGTAATCTAGCTGAAGGGATAAAAGTTCTTTTTTTTTTTTTTAATTTTTATGGTTGAAGAATTCTCCTAGTCTGGGTAATATTCAATGCCATGAGGCCTTGAGGGTGGTATAAAGAAAGTGAATTTTCGTAAGAAACAATAGATCAATAAGGTAACTGATTCCGTAAGAGCACACACCTGAGATTTACTTCTAATTTTAGCTGTGAGGTCATCTCAAGCTGCTCACAGAGCTCCCTCAACCTGCACTACACCCAGATGACTTCTCTCCTTGTCTGACATGCTCCGCCACTTCTGCTGGGGCATAATGTGAGTCCCCAGCTGCAAGAACAGCACACTTCTCAGATTCGACATTCAGAGGATTGGCAGGGCAGGTTAAGAGCTGCCCTAAAAATCAAGATCACCCAGGAAATGTTGCTGCTTCTGATTTACAGGAAAGCCTAAAACAACCCAAGTCATGCTTATGAAGGTGCTGTTCTGGGCCTTTCTTGGAATTGCAGGGAATCTGAATATGCAGTGCATGTGGGCGGGGGGGGGGTGTTTTCAGGGGACACGGCTCACCCTTGGGCTTCATTCCCCCCCCCAGGGGAGCAGAGAAGGGGAATGACAGGTCACTGTATAATGGAAAAGGAGACTGAGCAAGGCGTACCCAGAGACAGATGAAAGAGGTGGTTGAGAATCCAAAGGAGAAGGGACCCAGGAGGTCACACTGTGAGGTCTCCAGCTCCCAAACCACATGCTTCCCTCTCACCACAGAGCCAGGTCAGCTCAGGGGAACTTGAACCTCCTCTTACCTCAGAGCTCCACCCACTACAGGGCAGATAGTGTGGCTTCTTCACTCAGGTAGGGGCCACACCTGCCCCATGGTGGCCGAGAGTCTGCAACACAAATCCTGAGTCCCTCGTTCTCACCCTGATGCCATGACCCTGATAGAGGTTGTGGTTCCTCACTTGCAAAATGAGGGGGTTGGACCAGATGCTGCAAAGTGTCTTCTGGTTTTACAAATCCCATTCCCCCTCCACTGTGGGCCCGGATGGTGAGACCTTACTCCATCCACTCCTGGGATTTCACGTTACCTAAACAAATTACACCAGCTGCCCAGACTAGCTGGGTCTGTGTAAGACTAAGAGGTTCCAGTCTTAACCTAAGCAAAACCTGTATCCAACGTTGCAAGAGTGAGGACTCAGGCACTGTCTGGCCGCAATGGAAGGGACACATGTGACCAGAAAGGCTGTGGGCCTGTCGTGGGGCTCACGTGCCTCCTGTCAGCTTCCAGCCCAGGTGCACACCAGCAAGGCAACTTGGGACTTTCTCCCAAGCACGAGTTTTCCCTCCTGCCACCAAGGAGTCAGGCAGCGGGATGAGGGGCAGTGGGAAAGAGTTTCTCAGAGCTGTCCTGGCCTTAGGTTAGGGGCAGTTTTCTGCCCTTACAGCTTCCAACCTTGGGCACATGCAGGAGAGTGAGGCTCAGACCTGCGGATAATTTATAAGAACGAGGGTTAAGGCACCACCTTCCCCGCTTTCTTCCAGGATAAAGAGGACCGGAGCAGAGGAGGTCCCTGCTGCATGGTGAGGCGCCCAGGGAGCAGGCCCACGCCCTCCATGCCATGACACAAGCCCGGGTGACTTCATCTCACCCTATCACGTGCCTCTGCTTGCCCAGTCGGATGTTTTTTTGAGTCTCCCAAATTATTGCTCATTAAAACAGTAGCTTGTTGATGTTGGCAATCTTCGAATGAATGCCGCAGGTCAAATGCCCCCTTGCAAATATCGAGATCAGACGGCACTGGCCTGGCAGCTCTCTTTTGTCCCCTCTAACACAACCCCTATGGTCATGTACTAAAGCTGCCCCATGATGCACTTGTTTTGACTGTCAGGTGGCAAATGCTGAAGAGTAAGGATTGCATCATAGTCTGTGCTGGAGCCTGGTGACCCGTAGGTGCCTGGTGCACAGAAGGTGAGGCACAGACTTGCTGGGTCCACAAAGCACTGCAAGGTCCACCGTCGAGGGCCTGAGGGCACTTGCAGGTGCATCTTCATGCTCAGTGCATTTATGTTTTGTGGGAGTGGGGTGTTGGAGATTGAGCACAGGGCCACTTTACCACCGAGTTACACCCCCAGTCAGTCTATTTTATTTTTTGAGACAGAGTCTCACTAAGTTGCTGAGGCTGGCCTTAACTTTGTGATCCTCCCACCTCAGCCTCCAGAGTCACTGGGATAACAGGCATGTGCCCCAGCTTTTTAATAATAAGAAAGAAACAAATGCTATTTCAATGTGAGCTTTCTTTGACTCTTCCCATCCAATCAACTCTTTTTGTTGTCTGTTTTTTTGAGAGAGGATTTCACTATGTTGCCCAGGCTGGCTTTGAACTCCTGGGCTCAAGTGGTCCTCCTGCTTCAGCCTCCCAAGTAGCTGGGACCATACCCGTCCTAGAAAAAATTTTTTAAACAAGGATGTATTCCACAGCAAAAATCAACCATGACCACCATCTAGTGAGCACTTACTGCATGCCTGCCAGCAAGTTCTATAAGTCCATATATTTTCTCCTAACCAGCCAACGAGGGTATATTATTCCTATTTTACAGATGAGAAAATTGAGGTCTAGAGAAGTTTTTTTTTTGTCCCATGTGACAGTTAATCAGTGGATCAGATTCCAAGCTGGACTCCCAGTGGTCTGTTCAATCCATCACCTTCCACCTTACAGAATCTGAGGAAAGACTCTCTTGAATATTCAAAGAAGGAGAATTGTTGGAGAAAAGGGGCAAGAGAGGACACTGTGGCAGAAGTGTAGGCTCCAGATAAAAGGCTATGGGCAGCAATGGGGAACAGAAGTAGACATCTGCCACCCTGAATCCTGCCCTCTGGCGGTTTTCCACCAGCTAATACCTGCCAGCAACTTCCACAACGGGCAGGAGCAGGCGCTTTCCAGGGTGGCCCTCCACATTCTTGTGCAAAGTCGTGGAGAGTGATCTTCATGCCAGCGACAGGAACAGACCTTGGTTCCCAGGTACACGGTGTCAAGCCTTTTCCATTACAAGGCACCTCGTTCGTCACCTACGTTCCTTTCTGTTCCATTACTCATGCTGACCCCTCATGTTACCCACCCCCAGTGGCCAGGCTTTCACAGATGGAGTTAGGAGTGCCTCGCTCCTGATCTTCTCATCAGATAGTTGCTGTGGGGCCCTGGTTCCACACAGGCCCCCGGCAGCATCTGGAACAGTGGAGGAGTGAAGTTTGCTGCAGGATGACCCCCAACATATGCACACCCGCTCCACCTCGTCCTAGGCAGGGATCACATCCCCTATGCCGCAGCAAGAAGCAAAGGCCCAAACAAGGCTGCTTTTAAAAGAAGGGTTGGATCGGTGATAGCTGAAGGCAGCAGCGTCCAGGACAATGTCCACTTTCTCTTCAATGATAGGCAACCGGGTGAGCGTAGGATGGAAAAAAAAAAAAAAAAAAAAAGCCATTTCCGTTCCCTTGGAAAATGCAACTATATATTAGATTAGCCCTTGGCAGCCTTCTCCAAATCAGGATGGAAATCTGAGCCCTTTACAAGAGCAGTCCACACCTGAACAGGAAGACTAAAATTGGAGGCAAGAGTCTCCAGCCAAGAAGTCCTTTCTGACTTTTGCTATAACAATCATCTTCCTTTTCCACTGGTAGAATATTTGACTCAGACTCTGAAAGTCCAGGGAAATGGAGGACACACTTCTGGTTTGACATGACAGGGACAGTGTTTTTTGTGTGGTTTTTGCTGTTGTTGTTTTTGGAGACAGGGTCTCACTACATTGCCCAGGATGACCTGACTACAGGCATGCACCACCATGCCCAGTTAGAGCATTTTAAAAGCTACCCAGGAAGTGTCACAGTCTCCCTAAAAGAATCAGCAAGTTTCCAGAACACAACATACTGTCAACCAAAAGCCAGCACCAAGGGGTGAACGTTGTGCCATTTTGGATTCCTTGGGTATCAATCCAGGGCCTCTCACTTTCCCTGCATCTGCTAAGCGACAGTTTTAGACAACAGATCTTCATGTTTGTTTGGCTGATATTTGAAATGCTTTACGTTGCCGAGGACCCAAATTCCTTGTAGTGGAACTCTGGAGAATTCCGAGTTGTGGGGGAATACACACACAGGACTGGAAGTACCGAAAGAGAATTCCAGCCCAGCTCTTTCTAGCAGCTGGGTGACTCTGCAAGCAACAACCTCCCCTGCCTCAGTTTCCATCTGTCGGATGGGAAGAATCTGGGTTTCACAGACTCATTGTAAAGGACCCAGTGAGGCAGTGTGGGAAAGTCCTTGCTAAATGGTAGACGTTCCTTTTCTAAATCAATGTCAAAAGGTTATTACATTTAACATGTTCACTGAACAAAATCCGTAACCCTGTAAGGTAGATGTTATCGTCTCCATTTTTATAGAAGAGGAAAACAATCTTGGAGAAGGTGGGGCTCAAGGCCACAGACCTAGCAAACCACATACTTGGAGTCCAGCCCAGATC